CCACATAATTACTTTAGTGCGCCGCGTAGGACACCGGTAACCTACACGGCAGTCAATGTGTTAATCGGTAGAACATTAATCGTCGATGTCTTCACAGTGTGCTTAGTGCGAGTTTTTTACATTCGTAACACTACGTTTGCCGCTAGGGGCGCTGTTTCAACTCCATACAAATCCAAGTTAACTTTTACGCGATCGAGAAGTTAAAAAACTCGCGCTAAGCACAGAGGTCTATTATTTTATTAGAAACCGTCTTATGTACAATTAAAAATAAATAAACGTTTACGAACTTCCATTCAATTTATTCTCGATCGTAATTTTCTTTCGACTTAATCGAAACAGGTGAAGGTACAGTCGAGCGAGAAAGCGAATGATGAAATATTTGGGAAATAAAATTCAATTGGCGATGACCGACCTATGCCATTATTTCTTCCCCTACGCATTCATTCTTAGCCTAAGGGGCTTTATTTCTGGTAGTGGAGCATGTTGTGGAAAATGTGTCGCTGTCTTGTGAATTTTTAGAGCAATACAGTTATCCTTTTTGGTGCAAAGTGGTGGGACAGACGTTTTTTTTATGCCCTTGTAGGCAGACGAGCATACGGCCCACCTAATAGTGAGTAGTTACCGTCGCCCATGGACCTCAGCAATACCAGAGGTAGAGCCAAGCCGCTGCCTACCGTTAAATTGGTCGACGGATTCACGACCCACATGATGTTAAATTGTTACCCGAGTCTATCCACCTATCTTAAGAAATCAGTTCTAAGGTCTCAGTTTTACAGTACAACAGCTGCCCCACTCTTCAAACCGAAACGCATTACTGCTTCACGGCAGAAATAGGCAGGGTGGTGGTACCCACCCGCGCGGACTCACAAGACGTCCTACCACCAGTAAATACGATGTTATTCCTTTACGGTGACGTGGTATTGAAATTGCAATGATTTTTTATTTATTTACTTGACTTAATTACGAATGATTATAATTGAGGAATAAATCTTAATGTCAATTGTTAATTTGAGATAATTTTTTTAATTTTACAATAAATTTAAAAGTCAGATTGATCACATTTTCTCAAAGCCGCCGCGCCGGTCAAAAAACAAAAAAAAAACTTTTGTAATTTACAAACTTACATTTGCAGGTGACGCATCGACCTTTACGTATTTAACGTATAAGGGATAAATTATTTCCTCCGCAGAGTTAAGTTTGTTTTTCTGACATGCACAATTAGAATTTCCGAATCGCTCATAAGATCGCAGTAAATCATTTATTATTGAAATCTATTTACGTGCTGTATGTTCGTCATCGGATAAAGACTGTTAGCATTGAAGGTTCCGTAGCCTGGTGCATGGAAAACATTAGCTTGCTCTGGTGTTTTATTTATATTATTATAACCCCATTTTTATGGTGACTAGCTCACGACCATTATTAAGTTGCTACGGAAGCTAAAAGTTAACACAACGTAAGTGACGTCACTCTAAAATGTGAGGGTTTTCTCCGATGTCAACACTTGACAACCAATGACAACCAATGACCAATGATTATTTGTAAAAACCTCAAATAACATTTTACTTTACACTTAACATTTACAGTTTTTACTGGTGGTAGGACCACTTGTGAGTCCGCGCGGGTAGGTACCACCGCCCTGCCTATTTCTGCCGTGAAGCAGTAATGCGTTTCGGTTTGACGGGTAGGGTAGGCGTTGTAGCTATACTTGATACCTTAGAACTTGTATCTCAAGGTGGGTGGCGCATTTACGTTGTAGACGTCTATGAGCTCCAGTAACTACTTAACACCAGGTGGGCTGTGAGCTCGTCCACCCATCTACGCATTAAAAAAAAACAAAAAATATTATCGTGGCGGGCTTAGTTTAGTTCAGTCTGTGTCAAGTCGACGACACTATAAACAGGTTGCAAACTGTCGTGTCTTGTTTATAATTATCACCCTAAATAATATCACACACGCTCTATATATAAGCACAGATTCAACATTATTATAGCAACCCATTTGTGTTCCACTGCTGGGCACGGATCTCCTCTCTTCTAACAAGAGAACTGAGAGGGATTTAGGCCTTAATCCACGCACGTTGTCCTAATGCAAATTGGTGGATAATAAAATAAAATTTTACAATTATTATGCCAGATGTTTTTTTTATTGCCCTTGTAGGCAGACGAGCGCACGGCCCACCTGTTGGTGAGTGATTACCGTCGCCCATGGACTTCAGCCAATGCCAGGAGCAGAGCCAAGCCCGTGCCTATCGCTTAATAATCTCCACAAGCCTCGTTTGAAGAATGAAATTTGGTGACACTATTTTTAACATTAGACATAAAGCTTAGGTTAGCTTATTTGTGTCGTATAAAGATTGGTAAAAGACATAAGATGCTAACGCCCTTTACATTACTGTAAGTGTTTAGGGCAGTGATTCTCAACCTTTTTTTTGTTGCGACACATATTTAACGATTTCAAAAATTGGCGGCACACAAAGAAAACGATAAAAATTATTTACTTTCTACCGAATCACATACATTTGCCAATTTTAACGAAAGAAAAGGTGCAGTAACTACTATGCAACACCTTGTGAATCCCAAGTATCACTAAAACAACACGTTTTGTACGCAGAAGTGGCAAGTGTGCGCCGACTTGAGACATATTCCTATTGCTATGCACGCCGCTTCATCATAATTTGGCACTAAGAAAAACCGCGTTGCAAAGCAAATAATAAAATAATTTATTTCTTTGTGGATTTAAATATATATTCATGTTAAAAATATTTTCTTTTTAAATGATATAATTTAATAATATTAACATTATTATATACGTATTTGCAAAATTAGGCGGCACACTTTTGAAATTTGGCGGCACACAAAAGTGCCGCGGCACAGTGGTTGAGAATCACTGGTTTAGGGCGTTCTTATTTTTCTTCGATTTATATACATTAGTCTATCTATATTATTACCACAGTATAATTAGATATATTTCCAAACAACGGAAGTATAAGATCGTCAATTTAATTAAACAAAAAAAAAACAAAGAAAATCACCGAATTCCTTTTAGATGTAACGTATTAACACATCCATGGAAAATCTCAAAACACAAAATTCCATTTCAAATATACAATTTACCGACAATTAAGCAGAACTTAAAAAGTCTCGTCTAGTTGAGAATTATATTTAGTATAAGCCGTTAATTGTAAAAAAAAAACGTTTATCATTAGGCTGTATTATTTTGAAACCTAATCACGTCATTAACATAACGACAACTTGAACATAAAAGACTTAAATTCATTCGATGTAAATTCAAATAAAGCAACAAAGCTTAATAAGTCACGCAATATGGTCGACCGCAAAATACGAATCGCGATCAAAGCATGCGTTACGAATTATCCCTCTTCTTTTTTTTTAAGTATGGGAATCGGCTTCTTGCGACGTCATTGTTGCCAGTATCAAGTTTATTAACAAAATCTTCAATTGTTAAGTGACATAAGATGAAGTTGATTTATTTGAGACTTTTAATCAATTGGGATGAAATATAGTCTCAGTAAAATGGTGGTTGTTTCGACTTTTTTAGTCATCTTATTCGAAGAATCCGAGACTACGTCAAGAAACGCGTTCCAAATTCGTGTCAAAACAAGGAAGTGTGCGCCGGTCTGGTGTGTTCTATCTCTTTCTAACGCGAGCATCAGGGTCCGTTCACACTGACCAGCTCGAAGAGGAGGGCAGATTTTTATCACGTTGGAAAGTGAGTTTTGTGTAATTGTAGTAAAGTTTATTTTTGCATGTGCACTTTTTTATCATTAAGAATGCTTGAACGCGCTGCATGTTAACTAATATGAGGAGCCGATGGGCTTTCAGATCTCTTCCAGCCGGTCTATGTGAAATAGTTGGCGGCTCGGCTCCGGTCAATTCCAAACGTATAGGATCCGGTCTGTGTGAAAAGAAAAAAAGCGGGACGATGCTCTCCGAGCCGGTCGGTGTGAACGGACCCTTAGCACAGGCCGGCAACAGTCCGCGCGCGGTGAAACCGCCAATGTATGGTCTGTAACCGTTATTATAGCAACCTACGGCTACAAGGACACCTCACGCGGCGTGTAGACGGGCGACGTAACGTAATGATGCCCGTGGGCTCCAGCAACCACACAACAACACACCGCGAGCCCAGCTGCGCTATTCAAATTGGATGCAATTCGTACAACTATCGGCCATATCGACAATTCACTCAAAGTTCAAAATCCATTCTCCGTCAAATTCAAGCGTTTACTTTATAGTCGCATAACTGTGCTGCATGTATCGTTGGTGTCTATGGACCGATCGGTAATTTCGTCTTCGATAAACAACAAATAAATACAAATTTTAACAAAAGAAAAAATTTCAAAACTTATGATAAGCAAGTCGACTGATTAATTCTTTTCTACAAACAAAAAAAAAAAAAAAAACTATTCAAATATCATAATTGACGAATGTCAGACATATGTATGTAACACGGACAACACGGTATAGCAAGGTATGACGTCACACGTTACGAGCACTAGCTTTGCGGGAAAGAGACAGTGCGTTACCCCCTCGAACCCTCAACAAAAAAATTATCTCTTCAATTACTTCGTTTATATATCGAGGCGTCATAGTTTAAGCGACATTTCTGCAACTTCACCGGAGAGCCATTTACAGTTTCAAATTTGGAAAAAAAAGATCATAATAAAAAAAAACTTAAGCTATCTGAATGAGATAAACTTAATTAACTTAAACTACCAAATAAAATGGACCTTTAATTACAAAGATAAATGTCGCGTAACAAGTGTTCAATGGAGTTTATTAATGGGGTGTTAGAACGTTTTGTGAATCCGCGCGAGTAGGTACCACCGCCCTGCTTATTTCTGCCGGACGCAGTAATGCGTATCGGCTTAAGGGGTGAGGCAGTCGTTGTAACTATACTGAGACCTTAGAACTTATATCTCAAGATGGGTGGCGTATTTACGTTGTAGATGTCCATGGGCTCCAGTAACCACTTAATGCCAGGTGGACTGTGAGCTCGTCCACCTATTTAAGCCATTAAAAAAATTGTCGCTTAAGCCAAATATCCTTTCAGCAGTCGTCCAGTAGTGGGGCGGCGCTCACAGCGGCACGTACTCGCGGAGCTGCTGCAGCGTCTCCGGGTCCGCCGACTGCAGCAGCCGCTGGAACGTCTCCGCGCCGACCTGACTCTTCAGCGTCTCCAGCTGGAAATATTTACAATAAACATATCTATTATAGTGCGCGCGGAAGCGCTAGTCACCTCCTGAGGCATGTGGCGGGGTGAGACGAGGGAGCGCGCGATTGACAAGACGCACACGATATTATATTAAGTGCAGATAAATCTCAGAATAACAGAACTTAGAATTAATGTAATGGGTACCTAATTGTAATATTGTACTTTTCTATTTCCTGGTTAAACAAAGAAGAAGAAGAAGAAGAAGAAAATCTTTATTCGCCAGAAATATAGTTTACAAGATATTGTGGATATAGGACATAGTTTCATATATTTCGCCTGTTTATGCATGCGAAAATTTAACTTATTTTTATATTAATTCTAACACAAAATTTACTAAATCTATGCATAATATTCAAGTGTTTATTATATTTTATTATTTACGAAACAAAACAATTTTATAAGCAAATTAACATTTCTTAATAAGGAAACAGAAAACACTATCACCGTTATAGTACATTATAAAAAAATATATTTATCAATTTTGATTTTATTATCAATAAAAATTGATGAATTTTGCTTCGTAACTCCCCATGTCGTTTCTTTAGGTTTTCGTAGAGAAGTAAATTTTGGTTTTCCGATGTTTGCCGATTCGAATTTCCTTCATCTACAATTCTCATTACGCTTGAGAAAAAAACTGTGCACATTGTGAATTAAATTTTACACTGGTCGTGTAATTGGTGGACCCATCTTAGGATATTTTATCTCGTGTATGTTTGGAATAAACTGGCAAGAGCAACTCAATCGTGTGACCGCCGCGGTGGTCGACGGCAGACTGAGTTAGCTTGACGTTTGTCTACCTCTCCCGCCCTGCCGCTCACATACCTCAGGCGGTGACCAGCGTTTCCGTGAAAACTATAGTATATTTCGACTCTGGGGTATAAATTTGTGTTTTAATTCTTCTAATATATTCCACTATTTACTTGCCAGCACTTGACCAGAACATTGATCGAAATACTTATTTATTAAATGAATATACATATAATTATCACCTTTAGAATTGAAGTGCGGTAACGAAAAAATTTAGGAAAATTAGTTTTATACTTTAAGCGGCTTATAATCGTGTATCCTATCAGCTTATACACCAGGTAGGTACCACCACCCTGTCTATTTCTGCCATAAAGCAGTACCGTTGTAACTATACAGAAACCTTAGAACTTATATCTCAAGGTGGGTGGCGCATTTACGTTGTAGATGTCAGTAGGCTCTGATAACCATTTAACGTCAGGTGGGCCGTGAGCTCGTCCACCCATCTAAGCAATAATAAAAAATAATAAAAGTAAGTCACGGCGATAGATTCTGCGAAGCACGGCTTTTGCTAGGGTTCGTTACAACATCATCGTTAGGTTTAGGCCCCATGAGCTCACCTACTCGCCCGGTGACGCTGATATGGTCTCTCAATCTTAGGTACGCGGAAAAAAAGGAAAAAAAAGATGTAAGTCAGTAGGCGGTGGCGCGGCTCGCTCACCTGGTGGTGCGTGACGGCCCTGAGGTCCAGCACGTGCGCGGGGTGCGCGTCCGCCAGCGCGCGGCGACGCACGTCGTGCGGGCACGGCGCGCCGCCCGCCGCCCCCGCGCCGCCCGCGCCCCACCGCCCCGCGCCCCCGCGGCCCTCCAGCGGCGACGCCGGCCGCGACCCGGGCGGGGCCAGCAGGCTACTGCAATAAACAAACAACACGTGTTAAAATAATTTTTTTCGAATACATAAATCAGAATTTGTTCAAATACTAGCGACCCGCCCTCGCTTCGCTTCGAAAACTAATCCATTATTGATTTCTCCACTATTTAATGGATCTTATTATACATATAAACCTTCCTCTTCAATCACTCTATCTATTAAAAAAAACAGCATCAAAATCCGTTGCGTAGTTTTAAAGATTTAAGCATACATTTACGTAGGGATATAGGGACAGAGAAAGCGACTTTGTTTTATACTATGTAATGATGATGAACTGAAAGCGTGGAAGTCTGCACCTAAATTCGAGGGACGAGGAAGGGACACCGATAATTTTAGATGCTTGCTTTTATGCCTAAAACCTTAGGCATAAAATACAATATTAGTTGAATAGACACTATTGGTAATTCCATTGAAAGTCACAAGAATGTGACTCGCACCTCTTTAACTCCTACTAACTCTAGCTCGCTAATTCTTAATCCCACGTCTATCCCAGTTGTCGGTGCATACATTAAAACTACTAAAACTGTGAAGGGGTTCCGAAGATTCCATAAACTCACAGACATAGCCCACTGAGTTTCTCGCCGAATCTTCTTAGTGGGTCGCGTTTCCGATCCGGTGGTAGATTCTGCAAAGCGCTGCTTTTGCTAGGGCCAGTGCTAGCAACACTCCGATTTGAGCCCCGTGAGCTCACCTACATGTTAGGACGAAGCTGAAATAGCCTCTCAAGACTATCAGCATAGGTAGGGAAGAAAAAAAGATTCCTATGCATACGCTTAATTTCTACCGCCCGGCCCAAAATCACAAGCGACAGCGATTTTGGTGAATCGTAAGGCGGTTGCCCAAGTAGTGGCGGATAAGTGAGTCGCCACAAGTTCATTTCAGGGTTAGGAACAATATCGATATACACAACCGATGCGGTCAGTACGGATCATCTCCTTTCTTCTTTCACCGTTTGTCTATCTCTAGTATATCAGGCTCTTTTCATCTCTAGTATAACCGGCATTTTTTTTTAATTCTCATAAACAATAGTGACTCACTCCACGTAAGCGTTGTTCTCGGTTTTCATGACGTCATTGAGTACTTCGGTCAGGTTCAGCAGGATCGCTGGGAACCACTGCAGGACGACTGCGTTCTGCGTCGTCAATAACGCCGCCAGACCCAGACCTTGAATAAAAATCAAATACCATAACTACAATCGTTTAAGCAGATATTGCTCTACGATGATACTTCAAGTGACATTGTACAACAAATCGAAGGGTGAAAAGTTATATGGTTTAAACGATTTTTTTGCAGCTTTTCAGACGCTATTTAATGATAAAAAACAGCTATTTTAATGGAGTGCACATAATTGAAACTCAATTAAAAATATCAAACTGCTGATGCTAATAATACCAAATAAAATGCACCTTTAATTACATAGATACTTGTCGCGTATTCAAAGCGAAGCAGTAATGCGTTCTGGTTCAAAAGGTGCGACAGCGGTTACACTATACAATTTATTTATTTATTATTACACTGAATATTTATTACAATGAATAGTTAAAACCAAGCGGGCTTAGAGGTCGCTCGAGAAGTTTACGGAATATAGTAGCAATGTCCAGAATTTTTTGGATATAAACAAAATTCCCACGAACGAATCAACGAGGACACAAACGTTTCAACTAATAGGGTCCGTTCACACCGACAGGCTCGGAGAGCATCGGACCGCTTTTTTAATACGCTTTTATTAGCTTCAGACGTATGTATGTTTGTAACGGAATCTTTGAACATGATTTTGACCCCCTTCAAAACGTCGGATTAACTCGAAATTTGGTATACTTATTAAGGACCGAGGAGAATTCAAAATTAGAAATAAAATTTAAAAAATTTAAATCCAACTAAAAAATTAAAAACAGAAAAAGTTTAAAAAAACTAACAAAATAAGTTTTTTTAGAAAATCCAACTAAACAATAAAAAATAATTTTTTTTGGTGGATTTTCTATAAAAGCATATTTTGTTAGTTTTTTTAAACTATTATTTATTCTTTTGACACAGACCGGATCGTTTGGAATTGGCCGGAGCGGAGCCGCCAACTATTTCACATAGACCGGCTGGAAGAGATCCGAAAGCCGATCGACTCCTCTTATTAGTTCACACACAGCGCGTTCAAGCATTCTTAATGACAAAAAAAAATGCACATGCAAAAACAAACTTTACTACAACTACACAAAACTCTGTTTCCAACGTGATAAAAAACTGATCTCCTCTCAGAGCCGGTCTATGTGAACGGTCCCTTAGCCGCAGTGACGCCACGTGCGTGACGTCATTTGTGTTTGACAGAATTACTAAAGACGTTGACAACACAGTGTCACCCTAAATTGTTGTCACCCTAACGCGTTATGTGACGACACTATTTTGCACAACACTTTAATTTCAGGGCGTTAATGATAGATGGTTGTCGAAATTGAAGTGGCGCTGGACGCCTGTGGAAGACATAACGTGTGATACGGTAGGGCTCCTTTGAGGTGGACCGATCTACTGAAGATCGCCATCCATTGGATGCGAACAGCGCAGGCAGGCGAATCTTTTTTTTATTGCTTAGATGAGTGGACGAGCTCACAGCCCACCTGGTGTTAAGTGGTTACTGGAGCCCATAGACATCTACAACGTAAATGCGCCACCCACCTTGTGATATAAGTTCTAAGGTCTCGGTATAGTTACAACGGCTGCCCCACCCTTCAAACCGAAACGCATTACTGCTTCACGGCAGAAATAGGCAGGGCGGTGGTACCTACTCGCGCGGACTCACAACAGGTCCCACCACCAGTAATTACGCAAATTATAATTTTGCGGGTTTGATTTTTATTACACGATGTTATTCCTTCACCGTGGAAGCCAATCGTGAACATTTGTTGAGTACGTATTTCATTAGAAAAATTGGTACCCGCCTGAGATTCGAACACCGGTGCATCGCTCAACATGAATAATGCGCCGGACGTCTTATCCTTTAGGCCACGACGCCTTCAACCTAGGAGGAGTCCAGTGGGCTGATGGTGATGCTAAACAATATACGACCAACTCACCAACCACCTTCCACCTCTCGACTTGAGTGACCAGATTCATTTTTTCCGTCCAGACGTGCAGCAGTCTGTTCAGCACTTTGTCTGGGTCCGAATCGTATTCCACGTAGCCGTTGGACGCCTCCTGCACCGCCTTGTAGAACAGGTCCGTGGACCGCAGTATGACGCGGGAGACCAGGCACAGGCGCACGGATAGCACCATGGGCAGGTCGTCGCATTCCATCAGACAACTAAAATAATGTTATTCAAACCATATCTTTAGACATTTGCCAATTTTAATACATGATGGAAATTTATTTAATATTGTTGTAGAGGTTGAGAACATAAGGATAATATTTAAAAAATGCAAAATAATAAGCTTGTTTTTAAAGAAACAATTTTATATCACGTAGTGCCGACCAAAGTAAACTAAAGAATCATCACATTACAAGATGGACACTTCAAAAGTAAGCTATCGACTATAGATATTCCGCCATCTTGTTTTGCACGCCATTTTGTCATGAATCAATAAGTATTTGTTATACTTATTTATCAAAGCTACCTACGGTATAAAAGTTCGGATGTCTGATAGCTACTGTTACAACACACGTGAGACGTCGACCTCAAGTGCCAGGTCCGGTGGCGTCACGGCGACTACAAGCGTCGGTAACCGTATAACCCTGTATAGACAAAGAGCTTGCTTTTCCAAACTAATTTATTTTTAATTTGTATATAACAATCACAATTAATATTTAATATTATTTTTTTTATTTTTTAATAACTAAGGTCATCAATCATGATGCAAATTTCCTGAAACACTATACTAAGTGTGTGGATCGTGACTTGCCTTTATATGGGGAAGTTATAATAGGTTTTTGGATTCGTTGGTTAATAAGGTATAATAGGTTGAAGTCGTCGTGGCCTAAAAGATAAGACGTCCAGTGCATTCGTATGTAGCGGTGCACCGGTGTTCGAATCTCAGGCGGATACCAATTTTTGTAATGAAATACGTACTCACTAAATGTTCACGATTTACTTCCACAGTGAAATAATAACATCGTGTAATAAAAATCAAACCCGCAAAATTATAATTTGCGCAATCACTGGTGCTACCACCACCCTGCCTATATCTGCCGTGAAGCAGTAATGCGTTTCGGTTTGAAGGGTGGGGCAGCCATTGTAACTATACTGAGACCTTAGAACTTATATCTCAAGGTGGGTGGCGCATTTACGTTGTAGATATCTAAGGGCTCCAGTAACCATTTAAGCAATAAATAAATAAAACTCACTGAATGACTCTGATGAGTATGGGCCAGACGACCTTGACCCCGAGGAACGTGTTCCTCTCCGGTAGCGTGACGCTGAGGCATATCTCGGCCATCTTGAGCACGGAGAGCACGCCGTCGGACCTCATGTCGGCCATCATGTCGTCCAGCAGCGACAGGCAGCGGCCGCCGGCGCCCAGCAGGAACTCCTCGGGGCACAGCAGCGAGTACGCCTGCATTATGTACACCACGATGCGGTGGTGCTCCGTCGATTGCTCTGTAACGACGGACATCGGACTGGCTGGGGCACAATTGTACGACGGCATCCTACAACTTAACCTTGTATGTAGTAACTTTGTTAACAAACATCGGTTTTTTTTCCTTCCTGATAGCCTTGGAAGGCTATTTCACCTTAACTAGTAGGTGAGCTCATTGCATAGTTGAGTGGACGAGCTCACAACCCCTCTTGAGATATGAGTTCTAAGGTCTCAGTATAGTTACAACGGCTGCCCCACCTTTCAAACCGAAACGTATTACTGCTTCACGGCAGAAATAGGCAGGGTGGTAGTACCTACCCGTGGGGACTCACAAGAGGTCCTACCACCATGTATCTCGACGTCACAGGTTAAAATGGACAGCAGATGGGGTCCTCTTGGTGGGAGCAGTCCGTCGGCATGACCACGTACCTATGATGGGGTACAAGTTCTCGGCGAGCTGTATCGTGGCGGGGTCGGCGCTGGTGGACGTCTCCAGCACGGCGAGCCACAGTTCCAGGGCGTCCTCCAACAAGTACACGTGCGCCGGCTCCGACAGCCGCGTGGACTCGTTGACGACGCTCAGGATCCACGGTCTAATGGTCAGTGTGCAATCGCCCAGCGCCTGGACAATAACATATTTTTAAGTAAACACTAAGTTACCGAGGCCGCTTTAGGCAAGTAGGAAACTGGATGTGCCTTTTTTGTGCAGCAGCAGTAAGGGCCACGAGTAACTTCAACTTAACTCACTCAATCTCACGCGTCAAGTTGAATTTTTTAAGTTCTTTAGAATCGTTGCGATTTCAAACTCGATGAAACGAAAAAATAAATCCATAGTTTTTTTAATACAGCGCCATCTATGAGATTTTTTTAATACTAACGTGTGTATGAAACCTCTTGTAGTGAATTTTAATTTAGGACTATACGTGAAGTTAAAAAATAAATTCACAGAGGGCGCTACCTCATACTAAAAAATATTATTTATAATCTATACTGATATACGAGTCGTCTATTATCAAAGGTGGCAATCTGTACATTTGGACAAAAAAATTTTATTGATATGTCAATACAGATTTATTTGAATATAATCGTCTCCTTCAAAGAATACTTCAAAGAATTTAGGACAAATGTATTTTAATTTTTGAAGGTTTCATTTCTACTGAATTGCACACATATATTATTTTTTTATGAAAATTGTTCAAGATCACATTTTAAATTTTTTTTATTGCCTTTGTAGGCAGACGAGCATACGGCCCACCTGATGGTGAGTGGTTACCGTCGCCCATGGACTTCAGCAATTCCAGGGGCAGAGCCAAGTCGCTGCCTACCGTAAAATACAAAGATGCAAATGATTCGTCAAATATAGTAGTAAGGATAATTTTAGCCGACGGTAGAGGGGACGTACCTTGAGCAGGTGCACGAGGGCGGACAGTGCGGCGGCCCGCAGCATGTTGTGCTGGTGCGCGGCGGCGTGGTGCCACAGCTGCGGCAGGTAGGCGGTGAGCGACCCCGCGCCCCCGCCCCGCGCCACGCCCGCCCCGCAGCGCTCCGTCACGCACGACACCACGTGCAGCACGTGCATCTTGGTGTCGCACTCCTCCGACTCCACCTGCACACGCGCCGCGCGGTGTATTGTAGTGGAATTCTCTATTTAACTTTAATTCTAATCTTTCTTTTTTTCACGTGGAAGGAAAGAGAAGTCGAGGAAGATTGCCAACCAGGTGGACGGACATGGTCAAGGAGGCCACAAACACCAGCGTCCCGGGCGCCACTAAGCAGGCCGAATGCAGGCAACATTGGAGGAAGCTAGTGCAAAAACTGGACCAAGGTGGTCACGACCTTCAGTAATGAGGAAACGACAAAGAAGAAGATCGGCTCTAACTTTGATAAGAATTGCTTGCAAATTAACTTTTTTCAATAGGTACGCTTTTATTAGCTTCAGACGTATGTATGTTAGTATGTAACGGAATCTTTAAACATGATTTTGACCCCCTTCAAAACGTCGGATTAACTCGAAATTTGGGATACTTATTAAGGAAAAATGACAATTCAATATAAAAAAATGAAAAATAAATAATAGTTTAAAAAACTAACAAAATACGCATTTATAGAAAATCCAACTAAAAAATAAAAAATAAATTTTAATAAATTTGAATTAAAAATAGGGTAAGAAAAAATTATTTTATTGTAAAAAAAAAAGCGTGGGCTGCTTTTCAGGATATTATCTTAATAACCCTTCTACTCATATCTATTCATAAAATATTTATAACTACTAATATAGTAACCGGCAAACATCTTGAGCAAACGACCTTGACTGCGCAGAACCGAATTTTAGATCACTTTGGTGGTGAGGGTGAGGCGCGACGGCAGGGGAAATCGTATCGAGCGCGTTATTGGTAGATCAGTCGAACCTTGCGTCCCGCACCGCGCCCTCATTCCGCTTGCTCCCAAAAGTACGCTTGCGTACAGTGAAAAGTCTATCGTTATTAATCGTTAAGTTATTTGTTATAATTGCTTGTTGACTTCGTTGCCATTGCTATTTGTTGAGTGTTTGTTGATTTTTTATAAAAAATACACTATGCCGCGACAAACTGTAGTATTCAAAACAAAGGGTAAAAAAATTGTGTACGACGTATATTGCTTCATTATAAAACAAGGGAAGAATGATATGGAAAAAGTAAAACAGACTTCAGAAGCAACAAAAACATCAGTGAGTACTGTTAGGTGCACTATTAACGAAGCTAAAGGCTCTGGCTTGCTCGCCGTGTTTGGGACTCCGGGTAAGAAAAGATCAGGGAAGAAGAAAGTTACCGGAATTGATAGTTTCGTTCAATCTGTAATAAAAAGATGTAATCATAATAACTACATAACAAGCAGCGAAACTCCGTACCGTAGAAAGGCTTCGAAAAATTTAAAGAAGATATACATTTTAATGGCTCGGAATTAAGTTTACGACGTATTATGAAAGAGCTAGGCTTCAGATGGAAAAAAAAACAGAAAATAATCGGAAGCTGGTAATTGAAAAAAGTAACATTCGATTACTACGAATCGAATATCTTCAAAAAATAATTAATTATAGATAAAAAAGACGATCGAACCGACCGAGTTGTAAACTACGCCGATGAGCCCTATGTCGACTCATCACGATGATAGCGACTCGGGTGATGAAAACAGTGATGATGATGATGGTCAAGATTATGATAACGAAAAAAAATTACAAATTCCAGCTTCGCTTCAACTGAACCAAGACCTGGCAACAGCTCTAGTTTTGACTTAATAGAAGGAATATCTATTTTACCCCAAGATTAAATTATTACAATTATTAACCTATATTTTTTGTTGATGTTCTAATAAATATATAAAAAAATACATACGTTGATTTTAATAATTTAATTGCATTATGACGCAGAGTAAATAATGTTTTTGCACGTGAGTGTACCATGCGCATACTTACCCCCACTACGTCAACAAATGCTCAAGAAGTTTGCCGGCTATTATACCATGCATAATTTCTAGAGATGAATCGGATAGTGGTTTAGCCGAATACCGAATATTCGGCAAGCTGCGAGGCCGGAACGCCGGATATTCGGCCATTTCAGAAATATTCGTGCGCGTTCGGGTGTTGTCGCATTCACCACAATTTGCCACTGGTTAATTTTGAGTATTAAACTTCGATCATAATATTATTGATCGAAGGTATTAAACAAACGTATTAATCAAACAATCACTTTTGACGTGCGCTGATGCAAATAAAAGTTGTCCATAACCTATTGTGGTATTATTTGCCTTTTGTATAACCTTGAATATATTTTTTAATTTTACTATACGAAATCCGGCCGTATACAGATTTACTATCCGGTATCCAGCCAGGTACCACCAGTTTACTGGTGGTAGGACCTTTTACTGGTGGTAGGACCTCTTGTGAGTCCGCGCGGGTAGGTACCACCGTCCTGCCTATTTCCGCCGTGAAGCAGTAATGCGTTTCGGTATGAAGGGTGGGGCAGCCGTTGTAACTATACTGAGATCTTAGAACTTATATCTCAAGGTGGGTGGCGCATTTACGTTGTAGATGTCCATGGGCTCCAGTAACCACTTAACATCCGGTGGGCTGTGAGCTCGACCACCCATCTAAGCAATAAAAAAATAAAAAAAAAAACATGGCCGGATAGGCCGGATACCGGATAGTTACCGGATATCCGTTTCATCTCTAATAATTTCATACAATTAATAATTTCAAAACATACCAGGAGCTCGTAAAGCGCGGCAATGGCGTGGGGCGCGTAGGGCGCGAACTGCTCCACGTCAAAGTTGAAGTCGTCTATGGTGCTCCGGAGGGCCTCGGCCGCGGCGAGCTTGACGGCGGCGTCCTCGTCGCGGCTCGCGAGCGGCGCCAGCAGCGCCTCGTACATCGCGGGCCGCAGGCATTGGGACGCGCGCACGCCGCACCACTGACCTGCGATGGACGACGTCGCACAATAAACAGCTTGCAAACTGCCGGGTCTAAAACCAGCCCTCTGAGTTTCTCGTCGGATCTTCTCAGTGGGTCGCGTTTCCGATCCGGTGGTAGATTCTGCGAAGCACGGCTCTTGCTAGGGTCCGTGTTAGCAACGTCGTCAGGTTTGAGCCCCGTGAGCTCACCCACTAGTTAAGGCGACGCTGATATAGCCTCTCAAGACTATCAGATTAGGTAAGAATAAAAAAAAAACAGATGCACCATTTTCACAAATATTCCACACTCACCTATGAGCTGACAGACCCGCCTTCTTATTATTCTGAAATTATTATCTTTGATTTTCAACTCTTGACTTAAAACGTTCGTGAACCACTCATCGAAATCGACCTAGAAAATAAAAATATTCTGTTGAACATTCCACATTATTTCCATTAAAAAAACAATTATTTTGCTTATTCTGCCACTTTAATTATTCCACATCAGCCCCAAGCTAGTAGAGAATCCTGTTGTATGTGGTATAAACACAGGCACACATACGCACAAGATTAAGACAGTATATCCAGATCTCGAATACTACATCTTTTACTGGTGGTAGGACCTCTTGTGAGTCCGCACGGGTAGGTACCACCGCCCTGCCTATTTCGGCCGTGAAGCAGTAATGCGTTTCGGTTTGAAGGGGGGGCTGCCGTTGTAACTATATTATACTTGAAACCTTAGAACAAAGCAGCACAGTGCTAATATGATTTTCAATATAAAATCTTTGTAAAAAGGTCAGTGCAACATGTGCACTGTGTATTCTAACAACAAGCCAGTCATAATACTGTACTACAGGTGCTAAGCATATTATGTCATAGTCCACTGAGTTTCTCGCCGGATCTTCTCAGTGGGTCACGTTTCCGATCGGGTCGTAGATTCTGCGAAGCACGACTCTTGCTAGGGTCAGTGTTAGCAACACTCCGGTTTGAGCCCCGTGAGCTCACCTACACACGTTAGGGTGAAGCTGAAATAGCCTCTCAAGGCTATCAGCATGGGTAGAAAAAAAATCGGTTGTCTGTAAAGTTGGTTTACTGACGATAGTTGAACGTGACAACGTCATAAGAAAATACTGATTGAATGGTTTCATTTTTCAAAATAAAGTTTTGATTTTATTTGTTTGATAGATATTTTGTATGGACAATTGACACCACTTTCACTTTTCACTGAACTTCATACTTGACGAAAACATGTAAATGTAATAAAGTATTACAGCTGTCCACGCGGATGCATCGCTCACTCAAGTAGGAGAGAGACAGACGTCGAACGCTGCCGAACGCGGAGGCCAATTGTGCCTCTTTGTCGCTCGTTGCACGCTCTCGCTTGCACTTTAAGCCTTAAATGGAACGCCTCAGAGCGAGGTAACGCCGCATGAGTCATGTTTTTTCATGCGTGCAGCCGGCTCCATCGAATTATAAGACGTAGTCAGGTCAAAAAAAATATTATGTAATTTACATCGTGATTAGAACAAACTCACATCATCGTACAAGTCGAAGGCGGCCAACCTGACAGCGTTGTAGATGGCGTCCTTGTTGAGTATGGCGGGCAGGTCGTCGGGCGACACCTGCCGGTGCTGCAGCGACGCCAGCAGCCGCACCAGCTCCGGAGACAAGACCTCGCGGAATTGAAACAGCTCCATGAATAATGCTTCGGTGCACGGCTGGGTGGGAGACAGAGACAGTCAACATTACCATAACGATTATTTCTCACGGGGGTCAAACTGGAGTGATGTTAACACTGACCCTAGCAAGAGCAGTGTTTCGCAGAATCTACCACCGGATCGGAAAGGCAACCCACTGAGAAGATCCGGCGAGAAACTCAGTGGGCTGTGTCTGTGGGTTAATTTACTCGTCGAGCCCTTCGTCGCAAGCGACGGGTTCGCCAAGGTCGCTGACCGGTGCTCGAGGTACCTAAAAACACCGTTAATGGATCGGGAGGATCCGTAATGACGTGTTTTGAGCGACGTCGACTGTTTACCATTCGGTCTACAGGATCGGGTATGTTGAAACTTTAGATACCGAACCGTATGTCTCAATGTCGAAAATGTATATTTACATGGACATACCCTCAGACTGTATTTCCAGGATTCACCGGCTTCATCGATAGCGAAGCTCTCAGGTTCGGCGTCCCATAAAGCTAAATCGTCGCTACTGAGCAGGAAATAGTGAGTCACTAGGTGCCTACACATGTGACAGAGGGTGTTAGCATCCAACACTTCCATCTTAGTTTGATGCGCTTGTAATGTCACTGAAAAAAAACAATAAATCTATTCAATAAGTTTATTACATAATGGTGACCACGCATTAAGGTGCCAGATATTTAAAAAGTGATACTTCTTAGACAACTAATTCAATAATTGCAATATATTCGTATAATAAACTTGTTAAAAATAATAAGTGTGTTCGCAGCATTAGTCGACACGACTAATTCTTTACATTGAACTAAATTATTAATTCAAGGTTCAGGAGCAAAATTTTTATCGTCATCCCATCTTCTCACTGATTGATATTGATATCTCTCAAATACCCGAGTTTTTATTTTGCTAAAATTTTCTTTGCATAGCGTCTTTACTTAATATAAATAAATAACTAATATACAATAAGAAAAATTACTCACTAGGTTCCTTGATCTGTTCCGTTCCCTTTGGCACTTTATATTCGATGCACTGCAATATACCTTTTACTATATTAAGACACTGTATCGTGAATCTTTCGTATATGAGAGCCATTCCAGGCTCGGTGAAGCAATAATACAAAGCGAATTCTAAAGACGGTCGGATCAAAGGCACGTACGAAAACGGGTGGAAAAATAATACTCCTAACGCTACTTTGGTTAAATGTATTATGAATTTTTCGCATAACTCTAATAAGTAGATCCCACGACCCTTTAGAAGTTTACCTGAAAGTATAACATAATAGTTATTTCAGGTGTGATAAGACTAAAACAGTAACGTATGTACGGTACGGTAGCGGTAGGCAGCGGCTTGGCTCTGCCCTTGGCATTGCTGAAGTTCATGGGCGACGGTAACCACTCACCATCAGGTGGGTATGCTCGTCTGCCTACAAAGGCAATAAAAAAAAAAAAACGTATTTAAGAGTCTTCCTAACATGTTTAAGGGTTGGTTGTAATGATTTTAACTTGTTATATCGAGCAATGAACCATGTGAGACATTTTTAAAGCACTCAACTACAAAAACTGCTAAGACGCCGGTCAATTTATAACAATTTCTTCCTAATGTCTAGATTTTACATCCATAATCAATATTGACATTTAAGTCATTTTGCATAGTTACTGGTTTTAGTGAATTTCGTAGCAACATAGATGTGGCAACACCATCCTATATAAATCTATATGTTGAGGAATAAATCAGTAAGCAATCCAATGCAATTGAGTGCAAGAGAAATACTACTCATTGTGGTGTCTGTAGGCTTCAGTAGCATCTATTTCTGTATAGACCGACCCTAATGAGTTTGTGGTTTTTTAATGTTAAATTCATATTACTACTTACGACATTCCAAGCTGGACTTAGCCCGATCGAATACTACATTTAAAAAAGCAACAGCATCTTGGCTCTCGTGCGCCTTTTTGAAACCGAACACTGTCAACTTTCGCAATATCCTAAGACACAGGAGGGCTTTCTCTAGATGTTCGGTAATTATTTCGGTGGCGGCCCCTTCTTGGATCTGACGTAAAAATATCTCCGTGTTCTCGTGCCATAGACTTAATATGAATGAATACACTGAGTTGGTTAATTCCTGGAATCATACATTTTGGGTAAATTTTGGGCAGAAATTAAGAAACTTGAATACATTTTGGCAAACATATTATTTCTTGTTATACCATCATCCCTAATACCTATTCTTTCTTTCAACACAAAATGTTATAGAGGTTAACATGAATAATAGATATTAGATAAATGTAAAAATGAATTGCTGTTTGTTAGTCTCGCTAAAACTCGAGAACGGCTTGACCGATTTGGCTAATTTTGGTCTTGAATTATTTGTGGAAGTCCAGACAAAGTTTAAAAGGTAGATAAATATGAAAATGCTTGGAATGAAATAAAAATAACAATTTTATTTTTCCTTTGATGTGTCCCCCGTTGGACGGATTCCTTTTGTTTGTTTTAAGTTTATTTTATACAAAAGTTTAGGTCTTTTATTGATCGATTGAAGCACTACGAAGTGTGCCGGGTCAGCAAGTATTAGATAAATACTCTGAGAATGTGTATTTCATTGAAAAACGGAATAAGGAGACTAAAGAGTAAACAATGTGGATTTCCAATAGCCAAAATTCAACCAATGTTCTACACGTTAATACGACCTCATTGCTCGAAAGGCATATGTAGGCACAAACAAGGCGATTTTATAACAAAAATTGGAATCAATGAGAATTAAGCTTCAAGGATAAATGTTTAAACCATTGCAATTCAAAAATGGCTCTCGAACACCACCTCACCCATCTGACTGAATAAAACCTCTAAAGCAAAATGTATTTTTTTCCATATGTTTCATATGCCATGATATGATGGGATAATATCAGTTTGTCTCATTTATACCTTTAATGTCATTGGGAAAGTGTACTTATTCTTGTATGCATGTAATAGTGGCATCCCAATTATAAGGCATATTATTAGCTTCAGGTTGCTGAATGTGAAACTTATTAAGTGATTTTTCAGTAATACTACAGTTATAAATTTACAAAATAACCATTAATTGTTCAGTAAATGAATATCATTGTATTTTTTGTTTAATAAATAGAACAAATGTTTGAGAAAATATAATTAAATGAAAGATATTTGATAATAAATATGTTTTCCTATTTATCGTATTAGCTCACCTGAAATGTCTTCCTGTCACCAACTAATCTTTTAGAAGCCAAAGCCTTGACTACATGATGAAAGATTAACAAAGATCTGTGCTGGATCAAAGGTTGTGTAGTTTTCATGGCACCCATTAGCTCTGGAACTAAATCTGGCCAGTTAGCTGGACAGTCAAACCTAGAAGACGAAATGAACTTGATCAAATTAGTGATTAAACTCAAAGTGATCTAGTTATGCTTTTTTTTGCAACAGCAACAAACAGCTGATTATAAATGGAACTGTGAGGGTATCAAAATTTGAGTTAAATATATATCTTCAATTATGATATGGTGCTATTGTGTTCAAAATCATCAACACTATTACTAGCTATTTGGCTACTTGGACTGGCTATTTATTTCCTATAATAAATTCAATACAATGCCTTCAGTATCAGCCCAGAGACACTGTGTCATATGGAACCAANAACAAACAGCTGATTATAAATGGAACTGTGAGGGTATCAAAATTTGAGTTAAATATATATCTTCAATTATGATATGGTGCTATTGTGTTCAAAATCATCAACACTATTACTAGCTATTTGGCTACTTGGACTGGCTATTTATTTCCTATAATAAATTCAATACAATGCCTTCAGTATCAGCCCAGAGACACTGTGTCATATGGAACCAAAGGAACAAAAAAAAACTCACCTAGCGATTTTTGATATCAAAACTGCTTGTTGTGTTGCTATCTGGGAGACAGGTTCACTTAAAATACTTGTTGTTAGCAAGCCCTGTTTTAGTTTCTGTTTTTCTTCCTCTGAAATGGCATTAGGAGCATTCCTCCTCCAGTACCTGTCCACTCCATTCTTGAAGCACATGACAGCAAGCCATCTTACATTCACATCGATTGAGTGGTTAGTGAGCACATTCTGAGACATTATAAAATAATTAGAAACTAGAATTATCAGTAAGGAATACAACTACAATACTTATAGATAGCTACAAAAGTTTAATACAATTTATAACTACAATAAAAATGAATAAGAGTTATCTTTGTAATTTATAACAATGCATGTTTTCATTAGTTTCAATAATTTTTAATTGTTTACATTTTTACTATACTCAATGTACTTAATTGAGTATTGATGTTCAGTTATTAATTCAAAATTTTTATCGGAAGTTGAATCAAACCACCAATTAAATCAACAATCAAACAACCATTTCATTAACTAGTTTTTGTGAGAGTCTAATATAATTGCCTCATAAAATAATTTGTATTTCTTATATCACATTCATATAAAATATTTGTAAATACTTTTTTTCTGCAGAATATTATTTTAAAAAGCCATTACTATATATATATATATTAAATATATTATATATCACACATATATTATATAAGAAGTAATTACCAATAAGACAGAATAATATCCTGGTTCTATCTCCCATTCCTGCAGTTTTTTCTCAGCTGGTTTTAAAACTTCTGTGTCTTGGCTAGTGGCCTTGTTTAGGGTATCCAACACTAGTGCATAGATATTCGGATCCATGATCAGCTGTAGTAGAATTTGAAGATTGCAATAAAAATTCCGAAATTAATATGACAATATAGCAAAATTATAATTTGTGTAATCACTGGTGGTAGGACCTCTTGTGAGTCCGGGCAGGTGGGTACCACCTCCTTGCCTATTTCTGCCGTGAAGCAGTAATGCGTTTCGGTTTGAAGGGTGGGGTAGCCGTCGTAACTATACTGAGACCTTAGAACTTATATCTCGAGGTGGGTAGCGCAATTACGTTGTAGATGTCTATGCGCTCCAGTAACCACTTAACATCAAGTGGGCTGTGAGCTCGTCCATCCATCTAAGCAATAAAAAAAAAATTAAAAAAAAAAAGTTAATGTATCAACAATTATTGACAATTAAATTTTAATGTTTTAACATTTAGTTTCAAGACTGACCAGTAATGATTTGATCTACTCTACACATGTCCCTACTGTTGAGACACTACTTATGTTTTGGATTTAATGGTGACTATTATCATTTTATAAATTGATTTTACTTAACTACATAGTTGCATTTTCTGATCATGAATTAAATTAAATAATCAGCAAAATACTTATATTACAATACGAATTTATAGAAGAAATATCTTAAATATCTTATAGAAGAATATAAGAAAAAATATCTTATAGAAGAATCCTTTAGAACAGAACCACAAAATGCAGTTCAACAGGAGTCCACTAAAAGATATAAAATTAATAGCAAATAATATGTTTATAAGTTTTAAATGTCTACATAGTCGACGGATTATATAAATTCTAAAGCGTTATATATTTTATTATTAGCGCTCTGTGGAATAAAAGAGAAAATCAGAGGAATGCATTACACAAAATTTTAATTTGGAAATGAATTAACTAACTTACTTTTCACCCTCCGACATAGGACATAACATAACCTAACTACCTCCGAATTATTGGAATATAAGAAGCGAAGTAGCCCAATTACAAATGAACTGTAACAAAATGGATAGAATAATTTTATTCGCTAAAGGAATAACTCCGAATGTTTTAACAAACGAAACATATCGAAATTAACGTTAAGTAAAAAAATCGCGAAACTCCATCGGAATACCGATTTTTGAATGTCAGCATTGTTGTCAGTGTCACCGGAATAATTCAGGTTGTCAAATGTCAATAAAAATGAATTCGTTCAAAATAACTTAAACTGGTCTATGTAGGTAAGAACCTAGGTACGTAATTTTATTGGTCGACACAACAGAAAGGGGGAGATCCAGTACATAATCTAATTTATTAATTTATTACAGAGGGGTTTGATTTGTTTTTTAGTATCATCAGATTTTCTCAAATTGTAGTTGTTTGATTTTCAAATGCTGTTTATTAAAACTACTTATTATCCCACAAATAATAAGAAATTTGGAAGTCATTATCTTGAGGTAATTTATCGAAGCTTATCAAATGAACCAAGATAGCAATGGTAGACGTTTAGTCAATTCTTAATGACTAAGCTAGCTGCTTTCATAACATTGAAATGACTTGGGATAATTGTATAATACGATTAAACAGTGATTCTACGGGAAGTTTTTATACTGGTGACATAGTTACCGGAACCGTGATATTAGAATTTGACCAAGAACAAAAAATTGAAAGTAGGCCTTAATTTTATTTTCCTATTAAACGAATTGAATTATAGACGTTTTCACGCTTGACCTTGAAATAGAATTTAATTTATACAACACGTAAACTTTAAATATTTTTTATTTTCTTTCTCAGGAATCGATTTACATGTTATAGGTATAAGCAAAGCACAATGGACAAGATCCATGCCCACTATGCCATATATTAAAATTTACTCAGAAAAGAAAAAAATATTAAGCATTAGCATTTGTGACATTTTTAGTGAAATAATTAGTGGTAAGTAAAACTTATATAGTCTTGCGATTTAAGTTTAAATAACTGCTTTAGTGTCGGTTTTTAAATTAATATTACATTTAGCATTCGTTCATAAATTTTATTTGCAGCACAAATAGATGATTTTGACTTAATTATTAAATAAACAAATTGGCTTTAGATACTGGAAATATAATAGGGGAAAATTTTAAAATGTTGGCATAAAACAGCAGATAAAGTAAACTTTAGTACCTTCTAACTAGAATATCAAGATAACGAGGTGAAGAATTATTAGACGTCTGTGGCGTAACGGGCAAGATGCAATAGTTCGAATGATGCATCTCCATCAGGTTCGAAGTCTTGGGGAAAAGCCCACTTTTATAAATATTTTAATATTAATGAGCGACTGTATTTCTGAGCTTATCATTCTTTAAAAAATAAAAAAAATCTCTCCACAATGTTGAATATGTCGAATCAAATTATAATACATATTTCCAAATTCATTGGCTGGAAAACATTAACTTATAAATTATCTCTGTCTTAAATTGAGCTTGTGTGTTTACTTCGCAGGTAAAAAGATTAGACCGGGTATCTACACTTACCCTTTCCACTTCGCCCTCCCCTTAGATTTACCATCTAGTTTCGAAAGCAAGATTGCTAAAGTGCACTATTGTATTAAAATTAAAAGCAAACCTGCGGTCAAAGTAAGAAAGAACGTTCCTCTGCGAATTCTGGAAAATGTCAACTTGAATCATTTGGAGGAAATGATGGTGGGTTTGTTTGTTACATTAGTTGTCAATAATGTTATATTAAAAAAAAACAGTTGTTTTACTTTTCTGTGCTTCATTTCAATTACTTTATACTCGTGGCAATGACTCTCCGGTTAAATGTATAATAACAAAAGAAGTATTCGCGTTGAATACTACTGTCTATTAGGATTATTACTATTGGTATTTGCGAATTATCCGTAAGAGCAGCTCTTCAAATTTTACCTAGCTCTGACCCGGATTCGATCTCAATTACACCAAGATCGGCTTATTTTAAATCGATACAAATCCAAATCACTGCTCTACTTATTTCTGAAAAGATATGTACTTCATTTTTTCCAGTTTTGAAAAAAAACAACCATCTTTACGGCTAAAGGTAGAATTCACAATGTAATCCCTAATTACTATGGGCTTTATACAGTTAACTGCAAGATGGAAAGCTGTTTCCTATTTAAAAATGACGCAATTGAAATAAATGGTTTTTTTTATTACCTGTTATTTGGTCAACGAGTAGGTAGTATTATAATTCGATTACAATACCCCCGATCTTTATTTCAAAATCTTCGTGTGTAGTAATATAATGACAGTTAAAAAAAGGAAAAGGGTTTTGTTGGCGATGCCCCATTCCACATTTAATGTGCATTTCAGCAATGTAAGGGGCCTACATAGTAACCTCGACGCCGTACACCACCATCTTGAGACGGCGCAGCCTGCCCTCCTTTTTTTGACGGAGACACAGATATCTGCTCTGGATGACACTTCGTACCTTGAATACCCCGGCTACGTATTGGAGCACAACTTCCTGCGTAAAGCCGGGGTGTGTGTATTCGTCCGGGCTGATGTCTGTTGTCGCCGTCTACGAGGCCTCGAACAACGGGACCTGTCCATCTTGTGGCTGCGCGTAGATCACGGGGGTTGTACCCGAGTCTACGCGTGCCTGTACAGGTCCCACAGCAGTGATGCAGGTTCAGCTCTGATAGAGCATGTGCAAGAGGGGACTAACCGCGTGCTTGAGCAGTACCCATCTGTGGAGGTGGTGGTTCTTGGAGACTTTAACGCTCACCACCAAGAGTGGTTGGGGTCCAGAACCACTGACCTCCCGGGTCGGGCTGCCTACGATTTCGCCCTGGCCTACGGCTTCTCCCAGCTGGTGACACAGCCCACCCGTGTCCCAGATATTGAGGGGCACGAGCCCTCTCTGTTGGACCTTCTGCTGACCACCGATCCGGCCGGATACAGTGTGGTGGTCGACGCTCCACTTGGATCGTCTGATCACTGCCTTATCCGTGCTGCGGTACCGATCTCTCGTCCTGGTCGTCGAATGACGACCGGGTATCGAAGAGTTTGGCGGTATATGTCAGCAGATTGGGATGGGTTGCGTGAATTTTACGCATCCTACCCATGGGGGCGGCTCTGCTTTTCCTCTGGTGATCCTGACGTCTGTGCGGACCGACTTAAAAACGTGGTGCTTCGGGGGATGGAACTGTTCATTCCTTCTTCCGAGGTGCCCGTCGGGGGTCGCAGTGGACCCTGGTATAACAATGCCAGTCGGGACGCTGCACGCCTCAAGCGGTCCGCATACGCGGCATGGAATGATGCCAGGAGACGCCAGGATCCTAATACCTCAGAGGAAAGGCGGAAATTTAACGCCGCTTCTAGGTCCTATAAGAGGGCTATTGCCAGGGCGAAGTCGGAGCACGTTGCCAGAATTGGCGAGCGACTGAAGAGCTATCCCGCCGGGAGCCGTGCTTTCTGGTCGCTCGCTAAGGCTGCAGAAGGTAACTTCTGCAGGTCTAGTCTCCCACCACTACGCAAGTCCGATGACAGTCTGGCCCATAGTGCGAAAGAGAAGGCTGACCTTCTGGTCAAACTCTTCGCCTCGAACTCGACTGTGGACGACGGGGGTGCCACACCACCGAACATCCTCCGGTGTGATAGTTCCCTGCCGGAGATCTGCTTTACACAGTGTGCAGTCAGGCGGGAACTCCGACTCCTGGACGTCCATAAGTCGAGTGGGCCGGACGGCATCCCTGCTGTGGTTCTGAAAAGGTGCGCCCCTGAGCTGACGCCTGCGCTAACGCGTTTGTATCGCCTCTCTTATTGCACTAACAGGGTTCCGTCTTCATGGAAGAACGCCCACGTCCACCCTATCCCCAAGAAGGGTGACCGGTCGGACCCATCGAGCTATAGGCCTATCGCGATAACTTCCTTGCTTTCCAAGGTGATGGAGCGAATTATAAATATACAACTCCTGAAGTATCTTGAAGATCGCCAGCTGATCAGTGACCGACAGTACGGTTTCCGTCACGGTCGCTCAGCTGGCGATCTTCTTGTATACCTTACTCACAGGTGGGCTGAAGCCTTGGAGAGCAAGGGCGAGGCTCTTGCTGTGAGCCTTGATATCGCGAAGGCCTTCGACAGGGTCTGGCATAGGGCACTTCTGTCGAAGCTACCATCTTACGGAATCCCCGAGGGTCTCTGCAAGTGGATCGCTAGCTTTTTGGATGGGCGGAGCATCACGGTCGTTGTAGACGGTGACTGTTCTGATACCATGACCATTAACGCTGGCGTTCCACAAGGTTCGGTGCTCTCCCCCACGCTTTTCATCCTGTATATCAATGACATGCTGTCTATTGATGGCATGCATTGCTATGCGGATGACAGCACGGGGGATGCGCGATATATCGGCCATCAGAGTCTCTCTCGGAGCGTGGTGCAAGAGAGACGATCAAAACTTGTGTCTGAAGTGGAGAACTCTCTGGGGCGAGTCTCCAAATGGGGTGAATTGAACTTGGTTCAATTCAACCCGTTAAAGACACAAGTTTGCGCGTTCACTGCGAAGAAGGACCCCTTTGTCATGGCGCCGCAATTCCAAGGAGTATCCCTGCAACCTTCCGAGAGTATTGGGATACTTGGGGTCGACATTTCGAGCGATGTCCAGTTTCGGAGTCATTTGGAAGGCAAAGCCAAGTTGGCGTCCAAAATGCTGGGAGTCCTCAACAGAGCGAAGCGGTACTTCACGCCTGGACAAAGGCTTTTGCTTTATAAAGCACAAGTCCGGCCTCGCGTGGAGTACTGCTCCCATCTCTGGGCCGGGGCTCCCAAATACCAGCTTCTTCCATTTGACTCCATACAGAGGAGGGCCGTTCGGATTGTCGATAATCCCAGTCTCACGGATCGTTTGGAACCTCTGGGTCTGCGGAGGGACTTCGGTTCTCTCTGTATTTTATACCGTATGTTCCATGGGGAGTGCTCTGAGGAATTGTTCGAGATGATACCGGCATCTCGTTTTTACCATCGCACCGCCCGCCATCGGAGTAGAGTTCATCCGTACTACCTGGAGCCACTGCGGTCATCCACAGTGCGTTTCCAGAGATCTTTTTTGCCACGTACCATCCGGCTATGGAATGAGCTCCCCTCCACGGTGTTTCCCGAGCGCTATGACATGTCCTTCTTCAAACGAGGCTTGTGGAGAGTATTAAGCGGTAGGCAGCGGCTTGGCTCTGCCCCTGGCATTGCTGAAGTCCATGGGCAACGGTAACCACTCACCATCAGGTGGGCCGTATGCTCGTCTGCCTACAAGGGCAATAAAAAAATATATATATATATAAAGGAAAGAGGGTGGTTTTCTAACGAGCCTTTTTTCGACGATCCAAATATGGTCTGTTTGGAACTTTTAAAGTAAGAGTAACCTTATCTTTAAAAGTTGTTAGCGTGATTCAGATTTTTGCTGAATTTCTATGATGGCTACCGCTATTATAATTATTTATCGAAATATTATTGTAGTTATCCAACTCATAATTTTGTTTCAACAAATTGTTTATTGCACCTGTGAAGAAGATCCTTAGCAAAGCTCGGACAGAATATCAAAATAATAGCCGGGTAGTAGCAGTCAGGAGCCGTGCTCACCCCCTGTCCTGGTGAAGCTTCTGGGCCACCAGCATCCCTCCACCCTAAAAAATAATATTAGTAATAGCCGAACAGCCTAAAATTAATTAATTCCTTTTGTTTGAGAAATAAAGATAATCGCTATTTTCTTTTTCAGATAACATCGATCCACGACTTCGTAAAAGCATTTAGGACTTCAGGAAAATTCTCGGTTTCTGTGAAAACCTATAGGGCATTCGCATCCAAACAGACTGTCCCATTTGAGATCATATTAAACAATAGTAGAAAAGTAAAAATTAGTAAATTAACAGTTGCATTAATACAGGTAAAACCAACATTTAAATTTTTTAAAACAATCCGTTACAATCTAGACCAGCGCTTCCCAACCTTTTCTAGGCACCGCCCCACTGTAACATTTCTAAAATTTTTAATCACCCCATACATAATTTTCTACATTAAAAAATTGGTTTGTTCATTTAAGAAATATAAATGATACGCTTTAGGAAGAAATCATTATGAGATTGTTATCAAAACACAGTGAGTAATATCAGTACACAGTAATTACAGTATCAGTCAAACATAGTGAGTAATCAAATTGCCCCCTTGTGGGGCGTGGGGCCCACGTTGGGAAACACCGATCTAGAGCATTCGCCGATGTTTAAATTCTGGAGAAAATGTTCAACAAAAAAGATTGGTTATCAAGTGGTCGATAACGCTTTACCGTAACAGTGTATCGTATGGGGGCCAATTTATCATGGGATTTATTTGACTTTCGTACATTTTCGGGATGTACACGAATTGCGCCTGTAGACACTACGCATTTTATACTTTGCAATAGATCCGAACATTGTGGAACTCGAATAAATGTGCACCGCTCGTATTCATCATTGTATGATGTAAGGATTATTTGCAAACTGATTCATACATTGTGCAGCGACATCTTTCAATCATAATTGGAAACTTCTGAAAACATGCCAACAATTTTTTCGGGAAATTTTGCTGAGTAATTTTAGGAATATTACCTATCTGTTATTGTAGTGATGTATTTATTGTTCAAACTAAAATGTGTTCAACTAATAAAAAATATTTGTCATATGTGTAGTTCAGTAATTAATTCAGTAAGTAAATCAGGTGTTATTCAGTAATTATGAACTATTTCATAAAATACAAAAGCAAATTATCAAAAATTTTAATAGATCTAAGTCGTTCAGAAATAAAATTAGAAACTTATTCGTTCATAAATTACTTAGTTGCTTTATATGAAAACGTATTTCAGAAACTAAGGTACGAAGTCCAGACAGGATATGCGGAGGAGGAGAAGACAATGTGTAAAGCGGAAAATAAGAAATTTGCGAATGCTTTAGTCGAGATCTGTAACTTAAAAATAGAAATGCCATCATTATCTCCTTCTACTATTCACTCGCTTGGTGCGATGGTTAACATTTCATATGAGTTCAGGGTAATAATATTATTGATTTGAACAGCTATTAGGATTTTCCGACAGTCCTGTATGACTTATAAAATACGCGGGATGCAGAAATTAGACCAAAATTGCTCAAAAACACATCGAATTGAAACTATATAAATTAAATGTCATTGTGTTTTTATTGTGCAGAATGTATATAATGTAATAATAAATCCGAGACAATATTGGTTATGTAATTTATAGGCCTAACTGATTATTATAACCAAACAATTGAATTGTGTCTGTGTTCAGAACAATATCATCCTACCTCTTCTTATGGATTTAGGACTTTGTCAGACAGATAAACCACATTTATATTTTTTGTAAACTAAGCCGTAATATTATTTGCTGAATCATAAAAAAATACAGCACGTAAGGAAAAACATTGTAATCTTAATTGCTAGGTATAGGTACCTAATATATCAAAGTGATATTTATTTTACTTAAGCACTAGGCACGGACATCTAACAAATGTAGTATCAGTACCGACAGTACAGTACTACAGTAGTTCTTTTGGAAGCCAATCATACTAAAATCGTAATATAAGAGTTTAACTTTTGAATATTTTCAGGTAAAAGTAAAATTTCGATTTCATTTTTCCTTGATTGGAAGCATACCAGTGACAGTGGCAACAGTGCCTGTGATACACCATGATTTTTGATATAAAGAATCCGTACCAATGTAATTTATTTTAATAAAGAATGAAAGAAATGTGTGTTTTTAAATATATATTTAGTAGAAGCAAGTACTTCAACCACTGCGACATCGTTATCATTAAAATGTAGAAAAAAAACCCACGACCATGACCACATGACTACATTATATGTACCTTATATGTACTCAAGTTTACAATGAATCAAAGAAGAAATGCGGGCATGGCGCCTTTTTTTGTCTCTTGTTTAAAAACATTTGTTTAAAGTTTTCTAATTTCTGGCAACATTCATGTTATGCATGTAGAGACACCTGGCGAAGGCAATAGAAAACTTCAATCAACGATTAATATCTTATTTTAAATAATTTGATTCACCTTAAGTTACAAGAATATTAATATAATAAAAAAAATATAATACCTAATAATTTATGTGGTTTTTCTTCTAAATAAAAACAATATTTCATATTAAGCAAACTACAATTTAAAAAGGAGAGTATCAAGCTACTTCCTCTTTCCATTACTTTTTTGAGAAAGCGGAAGTGGTTGGTCCGCCATCATAATCACTCGTGTGGGTCTGTGCTTGTGTGGTTTGGGTGTCTTTACCGGTGCCAACCTTTATTTTTAATTAGTAGTAAGGTATGCGTATGAATCCAGACATGGACGATGATGAGAAGGGGTAAGTTTGTATTTCAATTATTTAAAATCGGAGTTTCGGCAAGTTTTAAAGTGCCAACTATAATAGGTCAAACAGGCATGTCGCTTGGTGTGTCGCATTTCACGGAAAGCCAACGAGGCTTGCTAGGCTAAGTGACGTGCCCATCTCAGTGTCAGCTGGAATTGAAATCGCTATGATTTCTGTACTTGCTCCGGCGACTTCAATGTACATATAATTATTGTCTGTTAAGCTTCATTTATCCTTTTACTTAATACCGGCTTGCGGCCACCGACCCCAAGCCTTGCTGTGTTGCGTGGTTTGGTCATGGCAGCTATTACTTTCCCGTGAAAATATACACTTACAAACCTATCCAAAAACACGTTTGTTTGCTAAAATTATGTGAAACGAAACACATCAAATAAATGATGTGGAAGCGTCACTTTCCTGTAAATTTAATCTGTTCTGTGACTAATGGATGCTTTCTCTTATCGGTGAACGGACATTTTTCGGATCCAAGGGTATAATTTGAGTCTTGAGGCTGTGTTTCAGTGATGCGATCAAGTAATGAGGTTATTAGATCAATGATCGAAGTGCCGCGTAGTCCAATCTCAGTTACCTACAACAAGCAAAACGTGCTGATTCATTTGCATATGGTAATTCGGATCGAGTTTGGTTAATAAATATTTTTCCCTTCAACCCTGATGCATGGCATTTTCGCGCCTCTTAAACTTGCCGAAACTTCACAATAGTAATTCACGTGTACGGAAATTCATTCACGGCGGACGTCAATAGGATAGTCGTTCGTACCTTGCTTTACGGACAGTTTCGAAAAGAGCGGATTGATAAATTCACACTCATTGAAATAACGCAATGTGCAAAATTTTAATAAATATATTCTTAGAAAGGCCAGTTTAAAGAATCTTAATGTATATAAATTATTTTGAAAGTATGCCTTATAGCCAATAATTAGCATTGTTAGAGATAAGTCACTATTTGCAGTAGTGCTATAATAAGTAATTTAATTCTATGGAAAATTTGCAGCCGAAGTGAATGTTACTTTCACTTTGTAAATGTGCAAAGTAATCATGGAGCAGCTTGAACGTTAATTGCGAAAACTATTCTGTTCAAGTATACACATATTACTTTAATTACAATATAAATAAAATTACCATTACATAAAAGCAAATTTTCCATTATCATGTTTTTCATCTTTCTTTTTTAATATTTTAAGCCCTCTCTTGATGTATTATTATATTATGATATACGTAATTTTCGTGAGTAATTTCGTTTCCCATTTAAACGAATAAAATAAGTTACTGATGCCTTAACAATTTTTTTAAAATTACTCTATACAAAATTATTAACACTTTACTCTGAATAATTATTAGACGTCTTAAAAATATTCAGTGTATTAATTTGCATCAGTAAAATATAGTACAGAACAAAAATGTAGTTTAATGAGATTTACAGACAAACTTATAAAACAAGACAACTAACAAACAGCTTAAATAAATAGTTCAAACTTAAATTTTAACTAAAATAAGTTTGTGTTCACACCTAAGAGTATTACTTATAAAATAAGTATTTGGCCAGAACTTTAATTCCATAAGAACAGAATTTAAATACCTTTGGTGGCCTTTGTAAATTTCTTATCATTGGCAAATAATACTTGAATATGTTCTACAGATAGCAAATGACTATGTAGGTTTTTAGGGCATACATACATTTTATGTATCATTAAAAATATTGAAAGAATAAGAATTTGGCTGCATTACTTTTTTCTTTTCCTGGGGCTTATGGCTTCTAAAGAGATCATCTCCATTTGTCAGAAATTGCATTTTCTTTATACTAAATAGATAGCCCGTGTTGTTTAGTCCTTTTGGTATTACATGTTTAGATATTATAATATGTCTTGTCTTAAGACACTGAAGTTGAACTCTTAATTCCAATATATATTAGCTGTCCCAGTTTGAAACTTATGCAGGTTTCTTAGACTGCTAAAATTCCAAACAACCTCTAAATTCTAAAATCATCTAAAGTCATTAGTTTTACACAACTAAAGAGATGATTTGAAGTAGAGCAAATTGTATTACTAGTGGTTATTAATGTAACATTTGGTAAATACATGTAATTAAGAAGGCAGTTGGACTTGTGTTTATTGCCTAAATTGAGTAGTACATTAATTAATTGGTAAAAAATAAATCATCATTAAAGTTTCATTCATAATAAATGTAATAATGTTCAACAAATACAAATGAGTGGAAAGTGTGAATCTAAAAGTATGTGTTTGTTAAACAGAAAACTATTTGTTGGAGGACTATCATGGGAAACATCCCAAGAGAACTTGCAACGCTATTTCTCACGTTATGGCGAAGTGATCGACTGTGTCGTCATGAAGAATAGCGAGTCAGGACGTTCGAGGGGCTTTGGTTTCGTGACATTTGCTGATCCTTCACTGGTCAACCTCGTGCTACAGAATGGACCTCATCAACTTGATGGCAGGTGTGTAAAAAGTATATTTCAATAATTTTGATTAATTACTACTTCATACAGAAGCATTGTGAAATAAATCTCATAATTTAATACAGCAGTTTGAAGGGTAGGACATTGGACTTCATATTGTGAGGTTCTGATAACTCTGCGAGTGTATTAGAGATATGATTTGCTCATCAATAAACGAATAAAGAATATGGAGTCTCAAGATAGATGGAAACAATCACAACCTTTTGTACATGCATGTAATTCAATAATATAAAATGTTTGAGTGGATCTGAGTCTTTCATCAACTGACACAGATATGAAAAGTCATTTCCTGTTTTTGTTATAGTAAAAATATGTTTCTAAAGAAATTATCGAAATGCGGAATTTTATTAGATTGACCCAGTTATTGAAATTGAAATATTTTTTAACCAATGCTACTGAATTTTTGCTGATCTCAAAACTTCATGTTTTTTTCTCTTTCATAATATTCTCAGTCTTTCTCTACTTTTGTCCATTGCACTATCAAAAGCTCAATTTGAATATGTACTATTTCATATTTGTTGTTTGTATATTTTAATACAGGAGTAGGAGTAGGAAAGAAGGTAAAGTTTTTTTTTTCTGTTAAGGAAATGCAATTCTGTTATTGAACAGAATTGAGTTATAGAATTGCTTCGTAACTGAAACTTCAAAGTCCGAACAGACTGAGCGTAGATATAATTTTCTTAACTTGTGGTAATCGGCTTTAGTAACCCAATGGCTAGATTTCGAAGATCTGTAACATTCGAAAATGACAAGTGAAAGAGAAGCTATCGGAAACCCGGGAAGGAAGTCATTAGATGTCTCAAACGTGAATGCGGTTTCTAAATATCGTGTATTCATTAGAGGTTAGATAATTATGCCGTTTTAAGCTAATTAAGTATCCCGCCTCTGTACTCTACTTTTGAACGAAACTGCTGTGATAATTTCGATTATAAATTTCATAAATTTAATAAATACTTTAATATGACTGTTTTTTTAAACAAGATATGTAGATAAGTTGAAATTTAGGTTACTTATTAATTACATTAAGCGAACAAAAAAAAACGTTATATGGTTCAATGCACACTTGCCTGATTCTTATATAAAACGCAAATTACAAACTTGAGTTCGCTTCAAGATAACCTGTAAAAGTGAATCATCTTAAAAAACTTTCCCTGATATCTCTAAAATGAACAATGGACCCAGAGGTTGACCAGCAATTAGTTAAATAATATTAGAAGATATTCCACATCCAGGCAGTGCCCTATGATGAATTGCATTTGGTATGTTCAGATGTTTGTGGTACATTAACGAGCAGATGAGCATATACTTGTTATTCCTGTGAGCTACAAGTCTAATATGTCTGCGACAGTTAAATATGAGTTAACTTACTAAGCTTAGAAAAAAAATATTTAATAACCTGCTCTGTATTTCAAATGACACTTTAAATAAATTGCATTTATTGACATGTACCAAATATATATTAAGTAAGCGTTTCTTGTGCGTGAGAAGTACAAAATTCTAATCTGTGTTTATTCAAATGGTTTTTCGTCATCAGATAGATAAGTTTTCTGATAATTTTGCTATAGTTAATTCATTTGTGACATTAATAACATTTCATTAGGGGCACTGAAAAGCTACATATAAAACAAAGTTACAATTTAAGTTTTTCTGTGCATAACTACAACTTTTAAGTTATCCGTTTGTTTACGATGTCTTTCTATAAAATGGTCTTCACTATGAACATTTTAAGATTTTTTCGCATAGGAAGGTTCCCAAAAACTTGCATTAAATGCTATTGTAAAGCCTAATCGCTAGTGCTTCATTATATATCGTTTTTCCGAGTCTAATGGTCTGAACTAATAATATGAGTTGGTGATAGGACCTCTTGTGAGCCCGCCGAGTAGGTATCACCACCCTGCCTATCTCTGCCGAGAAGCAGTAATGCGTTTCGATTTGATGGGCGGGGCAGCCGTTGTCACTATACTTGAGACCTTAGAACTTCTATCTCAAGGTGGGTGGCGCATTTACGTTGTAGATGGCTATAGGCTCCAGTAACCACTTAACACCAGGTGGGCTGTAAGTTCGTCCACCCATCTAAGCAATAAATAATAACAATTAAAAACTTATTTACATCAACCATTATCTGAGTCGTCTATTATCAANTTGATGGGCGGGGCAGCCGTTGTCACTATACTTGAGACCTTAGAACTTCTATCTCAAGGTGGGTGGCGCATTTACGTTGTAGATGGCTATAGGCTCCAGTAACCACTTAACACCAGGTGGGCTGTAAGTTCGTCCACCCATCTAAGCAATAAATAATAACAATTAAAAACTTATTTACATCAACCATTATCTGAGTCGTGTATTATCAAAGGTGGCAATCTGTACATTTGGACAAAAAAATGTTATTGATATGTCAATACAGATTGATTTGAATATAATCGTCTCCTTCAAAGAATACGGTTCAAAACCTGCATTAAATAAAGGTTAATAGTTAACCTGTTATTTATCTAAGATGTCGTTCCGAAGAGTTTTGTGACTGCCAATGGAATACAAAGGCAATAATTCGTTTTTCTGATTTACCAATAATTGTCCAAAAGTCAGATTGCCGGCTTTGATAATAGTCGACTCATCTATCTAGTGATTCGCGGTAGGGAACTTCATTGATATGATTATCAAAACAGTGGTCAACAATCATTTTCGTTCAACTTAAGATGGAAAATAATGACGTCCCTTGTGTCATACATCTCGATCCATTAGATATTTAGAATAACTCATAAGAACCGCTGTGCGCGATTCGACACAAAACCGCTATTGTTTGAATTTGTGCCAACATTGGCCAAACGTTCAGTACGTAATAGTCACGTGACACGGGGGTAATAAACTGCTAGTTGTTGAATGATACAGCTATATAGTCTACTCATTGATGTTTACTTCGAAGAAAAAAAAAACCTTATTACGTAGTTAGTGTGTATTTAATTTATTGAAATGTATTTTTCCTATTCTAAAAACGATACGATTTTTTTGTGTCGTAGGTTGCCATTTCGTTACTAGATTTTTTTATAATTAAATTAACATTGTGATGAAGATTCAGTGTTCAATGTTCGTAAATGTTTTTCACGGTTTTATAAGCTGACCTTTGTAGTAGGTATTAAAAGTAGTGTAGTGTTAATGTACACAATATGTCTCCTAGTTGTAGTCCAATTGTAGTTTTTGCATCATTCTAAAATACTGCTCTAGCCATGGTGAATTTAAAATATAAAAAAAAAAACAAATATCTTTATAACTGTTCAACACCTCACATGTTTATTTTCTTAAAAGAACACGTGTACAAAACGTGACCAACGCCAGTATTCATTCGGAGCATGTTCCTTTTGCCTTATGAAGTTCTATTGTGTCTTTACTTTATCACGTTGCTTTTTGTGACGTCATACTTTAGTCAAGACTTTATTCGAAGTTGGCTTCTCTCTTGCTGCTAAAGAAATACTTGATGTTTGAGTAACCACTTTCTTTTTATTGTTTTTCTACTGTCTACTATTCTGATCTATTTCTTACAATAATCATTAATTCAGGTTCAGTAGTGAGGGCGCGTATTAAAAACTACTACTACTAACTACTGGTGGTAGGACCTCTTGTGAGTCCGCACGGGTAGGTACCACCACCCTGCCTATTTCTGCCGTGAAGCAGTAATGCGTTTCGGCTTGAAGGAAGGGGCAGCCGTTGTAACTATACTGAGACCTTAGAACTTATATCTCAAGGTGGGTGGCGCATTTACGTTGTAGATGTCTATGGGCTCCAGTAACCACTTAACACCAGGTGGGCTGTGAGCTCGTCCACTCATCTAAGCAATAAAAAAAAACAGATTATTGGATGTCTACTTGCTGACTAGGTACCATATTGATTTTATTTTTAGTGTTCGCGAGTCTTAGATAAAATTAAACTTACTTTTACGCTTTATATTGTGACGTTTTTACTCGCCTCGCCTTGTAGTTCGTGACAACGAAAATTGTAAAGCATTAGAACATTAGAAATAATAAAACCTCAGTAAAAAAACGTCCAGATAATATCGTAAATGTAACTATAATCATACATACTGCAATAGCTAAATTTTAAATAAATAGCTTCTCAAAATCGAGCCCGCGCCCGCAGTAGGAAACCACACTTATCGAAAATTACTGTATTTATTTAAAAATAATATCTGATAACTGCAGCTTATCACAATCTTTATCGCTTAACGTACGCGTCTGTAGTTGTACCGTTAAATTTTCACATAGAAATGGCATGTCTCATTATTATATGATGTGAAACGAAAAGGGAAAAGTAGAAAATCATACGTATTTTGTATCTCTCTTCTGTTTTTCGGTAAAAATACTGTTATGGCGCCGATACGATGCTTCGTAGAGACTGTTCAAAACGTATTTATTAAAATAATTAATCCTCGCCCCACCCACGCGTAACCGTAGATTTGGACGCGATACGCAATCAGTGAAACTTGTATGTTTTCAACAAGTTTTTTGGAATATTTTTATTTTCTCCCAGATTTTTTGGCGTATTAGACTTTATGTAGTTTAACAGCGAGCTTAGTATTAAGTGCTTACTGAATAATACCGTGAGACAGGAGATCGTATTCTTGATCAAAGAATAACGGCTGCGCTGTACCATACAAATTAAAAGGTAGTAGAGGTCCCGCATTAGTCGAAATTCGACTATAATTAATTGGAATTGTAAGTTTGTACACTATTATGCTTGTATTTTATACTTCTATTATCACAAATTTCGCCAAGGCTACTCTATAAAAAAATATTTAAAATAATAAAAGACAAACAATATTTAATCTATTCTCAATTTGACCACAGACGTCAAGAACAAAAGTTTGACAATAAATAGTATGCATGCGTGTGTGCGTCAAATACATTGTATGTAGTGTGTGTAATGTTTTCTTTATTTATTTAATGTATCTTTTATGCATTATTTAAAAAAATATATTAGCATTGTGCACCTCTTCTCTATATTCTCTATAAGTGTGGAAAATTTCATACTCCTCCGTCCACGCAATTTTCGTAAAAAGGGATACAAAGTTTTTGCTTCGCGTATTAATATATAGATGATAATTTTCGGGACAGAAATAGAGAGGACTCTGATACATAGAAGCCTGAGCTCCAAAACGATCTACCAGACCGAATATACTTAATTAGCAAATAAACTATGTTGTGGTTGCTATATTTATTTAATAACAAATCTACTTTGCGACGTGGTTATCTAAGTTATAATTTGAACACATATCTTGCTGTATAGCTGTCATACGGAAATTATTCTCGACTTAGACATAACCAGCAAGTGCTAATTATTGTTAGGTATATCATCTCCTGGCTTGAAATTCGTAATTGCATCAAATTCGAACGGTTCGAATTTCATAGAAGATTGTGGCTCTGGTTCGCCAAAAGGGTTATGTTTTTTGGGAAAATTCCATGGCCATAGTTGCTTACGAAATAACGTTTCTTTCCAACGATTTAATAGTTGCAAAATGCTGTTTGAATTTATTAATATCATGAAACATTCGGGGTTTTATGTATTCATGTTCGTCATACGTTACTGTATAGAAAGAGTATTGTAGCCTATCTTAGTTATCAATTGCACAAACAGACTCAACCGTCTTGGAATATTGTTATTCCTAATGCATATGCGCTTAAAAGAGTTATTAATTGCGTGTAGGGGGTCCCGTGATGTGAATTAGTGGATTACCCATCTCCTCTCTTTTTCTCCACCTTATCCCACTTGGTGGGGTCAGCACAGCTAATTTTTCTCTTCTATCAGCCGTCATCTCAACACTCACTTCCCTCTCTTTTATATCGTCATTCACACACTGCATTCATGTCTTCTTCCGGTCGACCTCTTCCCCCTCTTCCTTGCGCTATGCTTCCATACATCTCCTAGTCACATGCATCTTCTCTCTACGCATTACATGTCCATACCAAGCTAACCGTCAGCTCTTTAATTTGTTAATTACCGGGGCTACTTTCACACTTCCTCTGATATACTCATTCCTTATGTGGTTTACCCATCTATGAAAATAATAATTAAAACAAAACAAGCTCCAGGGTCCACCTTGTCTTCAGTGGCTACCTCAGTCCCATAGACAACTCAACATGAATAAAGCCTACTACCACCCACTTTTAGATGTGAGACTTAAGACTCAAGAATACAGTATCCCTGTCTCTATTCAAAACGTACGACTAGTAGTCCGTGCGAATAGTCAAATCTGTATGAATTAAACAACTTATTTTATTTACTTTTTGAGCCTTGATAAATGATAAAATAACTGGAATGTAAATGTCAATGCATGTATTAAGAGCAAGGTTTATTAAAGTTCACCTGTTAAACTCTGAAAGCCATTTATAAAAAATACTATAACCTAATGAGTTCTGTGTATGCACAAAAAACACGTTTTTCTTGATTATACCGTAAAATGTTAATTATTTGTACTATTGTCACCAGGACCATCGACCCTAAGCCGTGCAATCCTCGCACTCTTCAAAAACCGAAACGTGGCGGTGGATACCCTAAGGTGTTCCTTGGCGGGCTGCCATCGAACGTTACCGAAACCGATCTCAGGGTATTTTTCGGACGCTATGGGAAGGTCATGGAGGTGGTCATTATGTATGATCAAGAGAAGAAAAAGTCTAGGGGTAAGAAACTAACCAAACTGATATTATTCAGGGCAATTTAGTTGTTTGACAGATAGAATTCAAAATTGACATTGTGTTATCAAGTGTATGTATTTATCATTTGCTTATTTTACTAATCAGTGTAAAATAATTATTTACTAAGCAATTAAATATTTTTTTTTAATAAAGTAATCATTCACAATGTTCAATACAATATTTGTCGATTACCATAATTGGGTATTCCACATCCAGGCAGTGCCCTCTGCTAAACTGTAGTTGGTACGTTCAGATGTTTGTGGAACATTAAGATGCAGATGAGCATATACCTGTTGTTCATGTGAACTACAGGCCTAATATGTCTGCGACAAATAAACATAGTTTGATAGCTGCAAACCCAAATTTAGTAAAACATTTGTCTTAAATTTCTATATGATTTGTTATCATTGTGAAGACTTTCAGGCTGTAAATTCATTAAATCCAAAATTCTTCTTATTCAGCACAGTTATTTGGAATAACTTTTTGTTGAATTTACAGGCTGTATTAAGTTAAGACTAAATATTTGATTTATAATAGACTAATAAAAAGAGGACTCCCTCATTAGCTTAGTAAAAATTTTTTTACCCTAAACATCATATTGTCATGTGTAATGTGAGCATGTGAGAGTTACGTTGAATATTTTACTAGTAGAAGTATTTCTTACTTTTACTGGTTTAGCTGTGCCTCGGACCTATGACAATATGGAGCTCCTGAAATCTATAGAAAAGCATACACTTAACATCTCTTTTGCACTTTAACAACTTTCTTAACGTAGAAACCTGATCGCATGATGGAATCTTGTAAAAAAAGGCTGGATGATGTTATTACACTCAAATATGTATGTGTTTTGAAAACAAATAAATATTCTTTAATTAATAACATACTGTCATGAAAGTATATGACAATTAATTCACATATTTTTTTAAAATCTTTATTATTCCATTATAGGATTTTAGGTCGATGTAATAAAATTATTGTATTGTCATTGGTCCTTGAAACACACTCAAATATTCAAGTCAATTTGATGGAGTTTGTAAAAATTAAGTTTCATAATTTCGTTTCATTAATAATATCTATCAAGTTAGTAACAACATGTACAATGTTTCTAGCTTTTTATAAACGGAAAATTAACCCGCTCACGTGCTGTAAAATAATATTTTGTATTTTTTAACGCTTACGAAGACGGACGATGCGGCGGCCCATTCAATGGTAAGTGATTACCGTCGCTCATGGACATCGTATAGTAGGTATTCTTACAGTGAAGAATGATGTTTCAGAGTGCTGATAATTAATTAAATGACAAACTTGATGTTATGGTATTTAATAAAAAATGTCATTTTTTTGTAGGTTTTGGATTCTTGTCTTTCGAGGATGAAATTTCTGTTGAGAGAGTGACCCAAGAACACTTCATTAATCTCAACGGGAAGCAGGTAAGATGTCTTTTTTTGTTTTCAATCTATTTCTAAAGCAAATAAAAGATTATTTATGAAATGTTAACCAGGATATTAAGACTGATCTTGTTTGTTAAGTTTTGTGGGCCAGTGAAAGTATGGCTTTGCTAAATGTAGCACGATATATTCTCAGCTATTATAATAATAATAATAAGAAACCAAATGCCATAGACATAAAGAAGTCTTTTCAGTAATGATATTGTTTTTTTTTTACTGATCAGTCAAGTTTATTACTTGATTCTAGTAAAGAATAAGAATAATTTTTTTTGGCTACTATTTATAACAGTATTATATAAACGTATATATAGACGACCTGAATTTTTAATCCTAAAGTCAGCATTCTAAATTAATTCAGTAATCCAATTAGAATCACTTGATTCGGTCAACCTTTATTCTTCGGAAATTTGACACTGTGTCTATCTGTATTTTGCTGTCGATTTTTAGAGGAGCTTAATGAGATTAAAGCAGTCTTGAGAGGTGGGCTTGATTCTGTTCCTTCGATTACCGTTCATCAACAATAACTACTCGTCAACAGATAGACCCTATGTTTGATGGCAATTCGAAGGCAATAAAATAAAACCACCTTGAGATGTGATATTGAAGTATCATATAAATTGTGATCGAATGCGCTTGAGTTCGGTCATTCCTCTTGTTTCTATAATAAGTAACAATGACTTAGCTTTTTTTTCATTATATTATTATTGTCTTATTTTGAGTGGTATTCAATATAGTGTTCGTGGTAAGAGCTCAACGTCATTTATAAGCTGTGCACACCTCTATTCCTACTATTGGAAGTGATATTAGAAGAATGAGACATCACATTATAATTAATGTAATAATAATACAACTCAGGTTGAGATAAAGCGCGCTGAGCCTCGAGACGGGTCTGGCAAGCTCGGGTCGGGAGGCGGCGGCATGGGCGGCGGCGCCATGAACGCGCCCGGGGACGCGCCCGCCGCCGGCCAGTGGGGGCCGCCCGCCGCGCCCATGAACATGATACAGGGACACAACGGACAGATGGGAGGACCGCCCATCAACATGCCCATGGCAGGCCCTAACATCATGCAAGGGTAAGTTGTAAATTTTAATCTAACATCTAATATATAAATACATTCAGATACTTCAAAATTACTTCGGATATTTTTAAATTAAACTCCTCGCGTCGGTTCCCCATGCTGAGGATCGTGACCATCATATTTCGACAAGACTACTTCTTTTAATGTCCAGCACCTCCGATTATTAGCCGCATGAAGGGCTTAGTGGAATGGGATCTCTAAATTAAAGTATTGAACTTTTATTTATTCCAATAGTGAAGTGATTTTGCATATCGAATTTGAATATTAAAATTATCTAGTTATTATAAATATTTTTTATATTGTAACAATTTCATATTATCATAGTTACAATATGAAGATTTTATGGTACTAGTGGTCCCACAGTAGTCGAAATTCGCTAAGATTAATTGAAATTTTAAGTTTGTACACCGTTATGATTCTATTGTCAATATTATACTTCTATAATCACAGATTTCGCAAATACTACACTATAGACTAAATAATATTCAAGATAAACAATATTAACCTATTCTCAATTTAACCACAGATTTTAAACAATAACAAAAGTTTGACGATTAACAAAGAGTATATGTGTGTGTGTCAAATACATGGTAGTGTGAAAAATATTTTATTTATCTAATTAATGTATTTTTGATGCATAAGTTAACAAAAATATTAGCATTCTGCACTCCTTTATATTCTGTATAACTGTGGGAAATTTCATACTCCTCTGTCCGTGCAATTTTCGTAAAAAGGGGTACAAAGTTTTTGCTTCACGTCATTCCCGATCCTGCGGAAAGAATGGAAAGCAGTCGTCGTCGCCCCAAACACGTCATTTCGGATCCTCCCGATCCACTAACGGTGCTTTTAGGTACTTCAAGCACCGGTCACCGCCTCAGACACAGTCCACTGAGTTTCTCGCCGGATCTTCTCAGTGGGTCGCGTTTTCGATCCGGCGGTAGATTCTGCGAAGCACGGCTCTTGCTAGGGTTCGTGTTAGCAACGTCGTCAAGTTTGAGCCCCGTGAGCTCACCTACTAGTTAAGGTTTCGCTGAAATAGCCTCTCAAGGCTATCAGCTTAGGTAGGAAAAAAAGCTTCACGTATTAATATATAGACAGATAGCAGTATGCAAAAATTCGTGTAAAAAACTCTTACTGAATTTTGGAGGTGTTACAACGTTGCGTCGCATTGGCACAGGTACCAGGGCTGGGGCACGTCGCCGGGGCAGACGTCGTACGCGGGGTACGGCGCGGCGGGCGCGGGCGCGGGGCCCGGCAACTACCAGGGCTGGGGCGCGCCGCCCGCCCCGCAGGCGCCGCCGCACGCGCCCGCCTGGCCCGCCACCAACAACTACACGCAGCACGCGCAGCCGCCCGCGCAGTCCTACGGCAGCTACGGTAACTAGCGCACGCACGCACCGCACACACGCACCGCGCGCACTAACGACTTCACGGACAACAATAAATTAATTAAAAACCATAGAGACATAAAACAACATTTTGGAAATTAAAACAAAAAAGCTAATTCAAAATAGAAATCTAGAAAAAAAAAGAGTTAGTAAAAACTCAAGGAACGTTTCGTTTGTTTACACAGCGAACTATAGCTCCGGGCCGGCGGGCGCCTCGGCCGGCGGCAGCTGGACCAACTGGAATATGCCCCAGAACTCTAACTCTACTGGTTCTGGTTAGTATATACTCGTCCCACAGTGAGCCACGCTGGCATCTCTTACAGTCTCAAAAAGATGACTAAAANAAAAAAAAAGAGTTAGTAAAAACTCAAGGAACGTTTCGTTTGTTTACACAGCGAACTATAGCTCCGGGCCGGCGGGCGCCTCGGCCGGCGGCAGCTGGACCAACTGGAATATGCCCCAGAACTCTAACTCTACTGGTTCTGGTTAGTATATACTCGTCCCACAGTGAGCCACGCTGGCATCTCTTACAGTCTCAAAAAGATGACTAAAATGTTTTAGCAAGTTTGTGTTGTTTTTGTTCTGTGGTTATTTTTTATTTATTGTATGTCGGTATTTAGAACGGTGCAATGATATAAGTACTTTTTAAATAAACTGTCAAAAGCCTAGATTTAAAACTGATTAGAGATTTAAGTTACTATTAGTGTGAACATTTTCTTTACATCTTGGAGCAGAGATCATACATATTATCTAGAACCGCTGCATTCATCGACAGTGCGTTTCCAGAGGTCTTTTTTGCCATCTACCGACCGGCTATGGAATGAGCTCTCCTCCACTGTGTTTCCCGAGCACTATGACACATTTCCTTCTTCAAAATAGGCTTGTGGAGAGCATTAAGCGGTAGGCATTGCTGAAGCTCTGATTGCTTGACTCTGCTCCTGGCATTGCTGAAGCTCTGATTGCTTGACTCTGCTCCTGGCATTGCTGAAGTTCATGGGCGACGGTAACCAATCACCGTCAGGTGGGCCGTATGCTCGTCTGCCTACAAGGGCAATAAAAAAAGAAGTTTTTATCTTAATTGAAATTTCATATATTTATTAGTATTACTGCGTGATGAGAGATGGTTGATGCAGGAATACCCCACAAAATTGGCGCTGCACATTTTGAAACATGTAGTGATTAATGCGTGTGTATTAAACGCTACATATCAACTCATGTAGGCTCAAAATTTTATAAAGTATGTATTCCTGACTTATGCTGCTGCTGAAAACCATCAATGACTGCTTTACGTGGAATTTTGCACACGTACATGTCAACTGCATTGCTGTGGGATACTATTAAGGGAAGAAACGTACGCTCCGGTGTTGTTATACTTATGCTGGAAATTCTATCCATATCTAAACTGATGGGATGAAACCGAGTGCTGGGCTTAAACAAGTCCCAGACGGCTCCGTTGTTGTTCTCGGCCACACCCGCAGTAAGTCTGGTCTCGTGTGCCGCAGGGTCGTACGTGCCGCTGTCGGAGGGCGGTGAGATGTACGGTCGCGGGGGCGGTGCGGCGGCGGGCGGCGCGCCCCTCACCACGCCGCTCTCCTCGGCCGCGCTCTCCAAGTCCTCCTCCGCCGACTACTCCGCCTACCAGCAGTACCCGCCCGCCTACCAGCAGGACCAGGTACGCACGCACGCACACACGCACCAACACACACCCGCACACACACCCGCACATACGTGCACGCACACGACATGAGCTCGATTGTATCACTGGCAGCGGTTCCTATCGCATTCAATTTAGATTTTAAGGAATGCCCTTAAAATAGTAACTCGCCTAATATCAGTTACGAGCTTGGTTCTAAAAACTTGGTTACATTTAAGTTTTTTTTTTTAAATCTATGGTAAAAGCTACAAGTGATTCACTGTTGAAAGCCACTATAAAATTACCGTATATAAAAAAAGAATTTGTAAACAGTTCTTGCCAGATAATAAAAAAAAAAACTCTATTTAATTTGATATTTATTATAATATAGGATCTCAACGCCCATGATATTTTAAAGTTGAACATACAAGACGAGCCTTGTCGGGAACACAAACAACAAATAAAATACTACATTTGACCAACAACATCAGACAATCTAAAAAACTTGTGAACGCGCAGACAAACTAATTGTTTTACTCGCGAATGTTGTCTTTTCAATTATAAATTCTAATCTCTAAATACAATTTGTATTATTTATTAACACAATATTTAGTAATATAAAAGGGTATGCAACAGCGCGATATTGAGCCTTGTCACGTTGTGTTTAGGTCGTTAATACCGTGGCTCGAATTCATGTTTCCTTTGACCAGCTAACTTTCGAATATTAGCTTTAAAAATATATTCCTGTTAAAACAATGTTTGTTTCTGGCGCACATATTCTCGAAAGATACTAATTGCATGTGAATAACAAAAAATAACAATGAAATTTAAAATTGAACACGAACATGATACACAATACACTCATATTTAAGTTTTGTTTGATCAATTCAGCCCGTTCAATTTTGGAATGAGTTAATTGGGGGGTTCAATCTTATACCTTTAAACGAGCAATTCTTGTATATATAATCTGAATCTCCGAAACTGCTCCAACAATTTTTATAAAATTTAGTATACATGGGATTTCGGGGGCGATAAATCGATCTAGCTACTATTTATTTTCAGAAAATGTTGTTTTATTCGTGTTTTCAATAATCAACTTTATGACCCTTCCCGATATCTATTGGCGAATAATAATACTATTTTTCATTTCAAGACACAATAACACTAAAGCTATTTCAGCAGATGGCGTTGTTAAGACACCCGAAGCCGATGAGTCTTTGGGCAGACCAAGTGTCTTTTTAACATCTTGGAATATTTCATCATTTTATCAATATGTAATTCGTATTTAAATATAATTTCTAAAAAACACAATTTATAAAAAAAAAATATACCAAGAAAGCTCGGTCATCGTCTAGTAAAAATAAAACAATAATCCAAATACTGAATTTATCAAACTTTACCTTTGAAGGTTGTCTAAAGACTTAACACTTACTCTGTTGTGGTTTTTGCTTAATAATTTAAAATCAATACACGAGCAAAAACCACAGTAGAACAGATACTAAAACAATACAAATCGTAGTGGGGCTACAGAATGAATGTATGTGATTATTTTTTTTAACTTAAAATACTGTAGCTCCCCTACTGAAAATACCAAGAGTCTAGACTTATTTGTATGAAATAGCATAACTGAGAAAGTAAATATGTAAAGTAGTTGTTTGAAAGAAGTTTTATATGAACTATAAGATCATTTGCTTATAAAGTGTTAGAGTAGATGAAACTTCTTTCATCAATCTATAAACTGAATGGTTAACTTGAATGAGAACTTTCAAAATACCATAACAAGCTTTCTACAATTAACATTCTCTTAAAAAAAAAAATTCAAAGGAAATAAAAAATAATTATTGATTTTTTTTTATTCTTTTGGTTTTTTTAAAATACGCATGGATTTTACGCTCTTGGATAATCAACATGTTCTGGTGTTGGGTAACATTTTTGCTGCAAATCGAATATTATTATAGGTCATTGTTTTTTTTTTTTGAAATTGAATTATTACTATATTGGGTTTTTGTATCATACAGAATGTATGAAACGTAATCTTGACGTACTTTTAACCTGCTTACCGCTAAATAATGATCACAAATGGTGAACCCTGGATTCTGTACCCTGTAGTGTTTCAATAATATTAACCATCTGTTAAATGTAAGACATATTCATTTAACGTGTGCAAATATTATTGAAATTATCTCATTTGGTGGCAATATTTTAACAAGTTTAGTTTGCTTTTAATCTAATTCACGCTGTCGCTGCTTTTTTTATATATCAAATAATAATTTCAAAAACTAGAAAATAGATGTTGATCAGTAAATTTACTTTAATTTAATATACATTTCACGAATCATTTTTAGTGTAATGCTATAACTGCATCAAGTAAATTGGCAGTATATTCTTTATTTTGAAAGTAGCAACAGCGTGTGCTTCATTTGTATAGTTGAGAAGACTTAAACTTAAATGTCATGCAAATCACATGTTTATGTTTAATGTCATAAAATCGCAAACAAACCTTCGATTGTTACTTTAGATCAATTTTAGTAACACATGAAAAAATTTACAAATGTATTATTAATGTATTAATTAAAAATGTACTAACAATTAAAGAAAATCCAAAGTACAGCCAAGTTGATGGTATCGTTCCGCTTTTCATTTCACTGCTTGTCTCCACCCACCTTCGTACCAAAGACATTCCGTTTGATAATTGTGAATCCCCGCATGAATCCACACATGACTCGCCCGAACCGTTTCAATCGTCTGTTAGAATCTCATCTCGCCTAATTTGGTTGTACTTGTTTGTTTGCGATTTTTTGGTCGGAAGCAATTGAGTGGTGGTTCTGCACCCGGTGAGCGAGCGATGTTCAGCGAAATAAGCCCTCGAACAGACGATTCCGGCCGCCGGCCAGCATGACTAGAGCCGCGTAGTGCCTCCACTTGCATCCGTGTGCTGTGTTCAGACTGCTTGGTTGTTCGCGTGGATGTCGCGCGGCCGCGGCGAGCTCCCCCCTTCTCTGCATGTTTTCAGTGGCCAGAGTAAACGTGCGATGTCTTTTTGATACAACGAGCCGTGCTGCGGTCACACACGGCACTCGCACCGCTATGAGGATCAAAAACGTTTTGTTATCGGGTTTCGCTGAAGGTCTCTCTCTCATCGCCTGCCGAGTCTCACTCCTTGGTGCTCCCTCTCCCCTCCCTGTCGCGTATATGTTCATCTCTCTCCCTCTCTGGGACAGTCACACGCTTTCATCCGGTCCATCTTCACGCGCTCCGCTAGTTACATTAAACCTGTGACAACCAATTGTTGTGGCGAGCGGGAGTTTATGTCTTGTTCTTCTTTTCCAGTTGGTCGATCAGGGCCCACAAGAGTGGCTCCTCCAGAAAGACAATTAGAGATAAGGGCGGGTATCGGATGAGGGGATGTCGCGATACGCTGGGGATTTCTCACTATGGACTGTTCCATTGTCGCGACGATAGAGCGCGCTCATCAAAAAGGCATCGCACCGCACTAGATATAAGCTTACCCTTAGTTCGCGTCGCGCCATGTTGTAGCCGCGAGAGATGAACCGCTCGCATTGTTTCATCTCGAGCACTTGTGTAAATTGGCATTTAAAGTACAAATTAGTAAAATTTGGATTTTTCATATTGTTACAGGTTCATAATAGTTAACTTTATCTATAAAAAAATATAATTAAGAGCTGTACTTTAAGTGTTCAGAGATGAAATTTATTCCTTCGAATGTAATCCAGAGTACATTATTTACAAAATTGTGTTATAATTAAATATTGTTGAGAGGAACAAATGAGGGTTCGCACCGAACGTGAGTCCGTGCACACTTCAGTGCAGCCCTATTTAGTTCCTGCAGGCGCGTTGACTTCGAGTGTTTGGCTTTAAGAGTTTATATGTTATATCCCGCACGCCCGACCTTAACCATATCGTAGAACCGTCGGGTTTTTGTGAACGCTTCTCCCGTTATATTTAGAAGCATAGAGATGCCTTAACTAGTACACGTATCATTGTTGTTGGAACCTCGAAGTCGACTCGTCTGAACCCTCGCGGTGGGCACTTGAAAGTACATGAACAGATCACCTCTTAGTATTGTAACATTTGTTTGATCAGTTAAGCCGCGCGTCTATTTCGACACAAAGCAATAATGTTACACTACAGAATGATGAGACGATCCCGATCAACTAACTAGACGGGCATTTGCGGCCGTCACTGATTAACTCCCGCCTCGGGTGACCGCGACCACTCGCTGTAACTAAATGTGTTGTTTGGTCGGCAAAAGCCCGCTAGTCCTCATTGCGTAGGCGGCGATGCTGATTTACGAATGACGCCATGTATTCACTGAGAAATGCGTATAAACATTATATACATTATTTAATAAACGGTACATAATATCGATCAAACAAGCTCGCTAACAAGTGAGTGGACCGTGAATACACGACGTAAAGTATCGCCGCCCGCGTGTCGCTACGGTCGCTCGGCCCCGTGTACGGTGTGGTGTGTGGTGTCAGGGGTCGTCGTACGGCGGCGGCGCGTCCCGCTACGGCGGCGAGTACCAGCAGCCCGCCGCGCAGCCGCCAGGTGTGCACGCGCATCCGCATCACGCGCCCAAACACTTCAACAACGAGTTTAACAAGGAGTGGCCCGCCGCATAAACACATCACACGCCCGCACACACCGCCCGCGCACGCACAGTGCCCGCGCACTGCCCCCGCCCTACCCCCGCCCTGCCCCCGCCCTACCGACTAGCCCCACACCGCACACAGCCGCACAGGTAAGGGAGAGCTGTGTGCCGTGACCGGGCGCCCCCCCGACGTGCCCCCCCCACCCATAGCAATACGAGAAATATTAGCTAAAATGTTCGTGTTTATATAAAAGTATTGATGTTGTAAAACGCAGTTTTGTACATGAAACGTAGTTAAAAGAATTGAAGAAAATATTAATTTTAAGATCGCATTTATGACGATGCAAAATAAATGGACATACAAAATATAGACTTACAAAAAATATAAATATTGCCCTTCGAGAACGTGGTAAAGACCGACTGCATTGACACAAACCCACACGCTGTTAACGTTTATCGTAAGCATATTAAAATAATTAAATTAAATAATTTTTTTAGAAGTTAATTCGTTCGTCTCTTAATTCGATAAGTAAATAATGTATTTATCTCTTCTCTGAACGCTGGCGAAGTAAATGATATTATAGTTGTTTTGGATTTGAGCTCGTCGTGAGAACATCGGCGCAGGAGAATGATATTACTCGGCTCTGTCGCGACCCCCGGCCCGCCCGGACGACGCGTGCTCGTGTACAACGAACGTACACTCTCTTTTTATTCACTTTGCTTTTATTATTCTTATATGGATGTGGGCTTTTTTTTCGTAGATATTTTTCTTTAGTTTTCATGTTTCGAATGTTTTTATTTTCTCTCTCCACTAGTGGAGGATTAGTTTGTGAATTGATTTCTTTTAATGACGCCGGGCTGCCCGCGCCCCGGGTCCGCCCCGGCGCCCCGCGACGGACGCATTTGACAGACAATGTTAAACAAGGCCAATTTTAGGGGAAAGAAGTCACCTAAAGAACTTAACTTAAGCTAATGACTTGTATAAATATTTCGTATATATATCGGTATGTATGTTTAATATTAGAGTTTTGGTTGTTTACCACCCACTAGACTTAGGAAAACGGTAGGTTTTTAATGAAATAATTGTGTTATAATAAATATTTAACGAAACATAGTATGACTGATCGTGTTGTAATAATTTTAATTTTGTCCCGTTTTTTAAAGAAAAGGGAACGTACTGTATAAATAGTAATTTTAATAATTTTTTCTAATACGCATTTTTAGTTTATCGCAGTTTATATATATATAATTTTTTGTTCGTTTAAGTTGATAATAAAATTAATACGTTATAAATTAAATATACCTGCCAAATTGTTAACGAGTAAGCGATAATATCGTTAAAAGAAGCTCAAGCATTTAGATATAGAAGGGCCGAGCCGTATCCTCAGCTCGGGCACCCCTCGCGTGGACCGCGTGTAAATAGGTCATAATATTAATGGATTCTCTCGCCACAGGTAGAATCAAAGGGTCTGTTTGGTTCCCGCGACTCGTAGTCTTCCCTGGCCGCGCTCATTTAAACGTATGCGATAAACACACTGGCAATTTTAGGGAATTAAATTAGCGTTTTTAGTTTCATGTTAAAAAATAATCGTAACTATAGAGGTCGGAATATTTGCCCCCAATCGCGTGTAGTTTGAGGGCGCGTACGTCGCGTCTCTCCCAACCTGTCCGATACGAAGTGAGGTTATAATTTAAAATAACAATGTTAGATTAAATTTAATGTTAGTCCTTTACTGTGTACTATATCGCTCAATCGTTTGACCGATCGACTGATTAAAATTTTAGTGTTTAAGCTAAGTAATTAATCTCGGACAGCGGGAGGGATCGAGGCTGCAGCGGACGCGCCCGGTTTAAGCGCGCTAGATATATTTGTTATAAAACGTTCTTACATTGCATACGAAAAATTGATTGATGATTACATTCAATGCATAATTAACGGTTTAGATTAGGATTATTTAAGATCGCTCCATAAGTAAATTATAATTTGTTGTATCCATTGAGGAACATAGTGAAGTCTGTAAGCAAATTTTATTTAAGGGGTCCGCGGCGAGGGGTGCCGCGTCCCGTGTTAACGATAAAAATAGTGAAAATGAGAATGCCTTTAACATTGTGATGTTCATAGTTAACTGATAATTGGATACATTTCTAATAGTTATATTTGTAACAGTTCGGATTGCGCGTACAGTTATATAGGAAGTTGAAACTCGTACATTTAAGTAACAATGATCGTCTTAATAACGTCGGCGCGTCTTAGGTTAGGTTGTCTCGATTCATTCCTCTCGCGTTCCTTTAGTCTGCAATCTCTCGACCTCCTTCCTTGGTTCGTTTACGATTTCTATGTTTAAATAGTATTCGACTCGCCGAGCATAGGTTTAACGTACAACCACCGATAGCGAACGAATGAAACCGTTCGAATCTGTTTGTTAATGTTAGGAAAAGTTGCCTTACAAAAAAAAAAAAAAATAAGTGAATATATAGATGATTTATAAATTGTGTTATTTTCAGTGATAATGATTAGCACTAAGGTGTATTAGGGCCAGAAAGGGGTTCCTTCGACCACAACTACGGAACAATTAAGAACTTAGTTTGTAATTAACAAATGTGGCAATCAATCTAATTAAAATAAAAGAGTATAATTTATTTAAATAAAGATATAAAAGATATGTATTAGAAGTTTTTAGATTTACTCAAATGATTAACTTAGTGCAAATTATCGTGAAGAAGAAATTTTAATAATCAATTGATACTATTTATATGGGTTTTTAATTATTATTATTATTATTATATAGGAAGAGAACGTTAATGAAAATGAAAAATTAAAATATCGATGAATTTATTAATTAAACATAGTTAGCAAAATACAAAATACGGTAAGACTCTTTAGAGGCTAGTCTGTCAAATGTGTCCAGCGCCGCGCAGCCGGCACCCAGCCCTTGGATATAATGTCGACATAAGATAAATATTACTTGTATCTTAAAGTTTTAATGTTTATCAAGTAAAGGAAAAAAAAAAAAAGTTTATTAATATAATATTTTTAAATCATGGCTTAACTGTAGTGATGTTGTGTAGTTAACATTTTCGACTCCTGTTTGTGTATCAATCACTAAATGATATTTACGAATAGTGTACGCGGTTTTTATATGTGTATGTTTATTCAGTAGCTATTTATAAAATATGGTAAACGTGTTTGTGTACCGCGGTGCGATCGAGAACCGCCTCCGCACGCGCGCTGCTTTCATTAATATATTTACGATCGTAATTGACTAATTATACAAGATCCTTAGTGTTACATTTAGACTAGCGGTCGGATTCTCTTTAAGTTCCCTATATTTACTACTACTACTACTACTATACTATCATATTACTACTACTACTACTACTCGTCTTGTAAAATTAAAATATTTTGCATTTAAAAGTGTACACGACCCACGGTCAATTTACTTGTAGTCTTTTCGAAAGTTATTTTTAAAATCAATGCAGGTATTATAAAATAAATAACCTCATATTTATACTAGAATTTAATATTAAATATAATTATTGATATCCATTGTGTCGTAAAATTAATTGCACGGGCTTTACAGTTAATTATAACATTAATTATTATTAAAAAAAAAATACCTAGGGCAAGTTGTTATTTATTTCTGTTTTAATTAAAATTGATGTTGATTAATTTTAATCTATATAATTTTTTTAATAGTGGATTAAAGTACATAATTCTCGATTGAATTAGAATACAAAATTTGTTAGGTGAGCTATTGACTGATGTACAATATTAAAGTAATGTTTAATTACGGCAGTATATAAGTTGTGCGCCGCCGGCACGGACGCGCCATTGTATTTAACAATATTTTGTATTAATTTTTTTTTAAATGTAATTAATTGGAAGCGGCGACCGCGACCGAGTCACATAAGCAAGTTACGATTGTAAGACTATTTATCTAGTAGAGATTTGTTAATAATGTGTAAAAAAAAAACTAATTACTTAGCCCTAACGAGTACAGATCGCGTGAAGCCTTTAGAGGTCCGCGGCGGGCGCGTGCGGCGCCGCGACGCGCCCGCCGCCGACGAATAAGTTACTTTATGTTCGTTATATTAAAGCTGAAAATTATGATAGACATACACGAGCGTCCTTGTTATTTCATTAATACGATTACCTAATGATAATTAGTTAATTACGGTTAATAAATTATTAATTTTAACCGAAGCACTTATATAAATAAGACGAGAATAGCTTTTTTTTTATGTAAGCGAAAAGTTGTTTGATGTAATAAAATTAAACTGCTAACTTACAACATATAATAACACTGAGGTCTTTTGAAGTAGTAATTATGCATTATTTCATATTAGGTATTTTGGGTATATTTTAGTGTTAGACTTAACTGGTAACATTAAGTAAGGTAGTTTGTAAATGTAACGGAAACATAAAGCAGTTTGTCGTAGTTTCTTACTATTAAGCTTCTTCTATTTTAATGGATTAAGTAACACTACTGGTTGATTAATTAAAAAGAATATTTAATTAATACCACTGCAAATATTTGATATATCTTATGATGAAATATATATATATATATATATATCTACTCGTAAGGACATTATAAAACGTAGATAATTAAAAGAAATCAAAAATATTAAAAAAGTATATGAATGCATTTTTACTGAACAACGTGATCCCAATCCCGTAGTCTTACGTAGCCTCAGTCGCGGCGACCGACGTCCCCACGTGTACTGTATCATAATTTTAGTTCCGATGTAACGTGACGTAACGTAACGTGACGTGACGCAGCGTGACGACGAACAGAACGTCGAGCCCTCCCAATTAATTATGTTGCTCATTTATTTATTATATTATATTTACTTAATCTATCATATATTTCTATTAGTAATCTTATAATAATAATATTTAATATATACATATTCATTATATATATGTATAATTAGCATCGTTTCCGCAATATAAATCTATAATCACACAAAGTAACTTCATTTTTTATTTACGCACTAACGTTCACGTTTTGTGTCCCCTTAATTTGGATTCTTTGGTGCAATGAAAGTCGTGTGTCGAAGAACGCTTTTGTTGCAACGGTCTGTAGCGATTGATCGCGATTAACTGGTACACGGAATGCACGACAGAGGGAGACGGTGTCGGCGGCCACGCCGGGAGCCCCAAGTTCATGAACGTGCAAATGACCGACACAGTAGGAACGCAACCTCAGGTTTTATCATTTCCACTGTACCGTGTGCTTAGTGCGAGTTTTTTAACGTTCTCGATAGCGTAAAAGTCAAGCCGTTTTTTGTATGCAGTTGGAACAGCGCCACCTAGCGGCACACGTACGCAAACGACCCCATTCCATACAAATATGAACTAACTTTTACGCTATCGAGTACGTTAAGAAACTCGCACTAAGCACACTGATTATGTAAATTCTAAATTTACAAAAAAAAAAAAAAACTTATCTGACCAATTCCTATAGTAGGATTAGAGATTTTAATTACGAGTATATTTAATGAGAATTTAGATTGAGGTAGTTTGAAATTTTGTCGTATTTGATGGAGTATGGAGAGTCACATTGCTTGTACTGATGAAAACAGGTGCAGCTAATGTACTGCGGCGGCGTGATGTCGCCCCAGCCGTCGTTCTGTAATGTCTCCGATATGGCGTCCGTCTCAGGTTCGATAATATTCATAAAGAGCAAAGAGTAAAAATACAAAAAAAAAGAAAATCGTAGGTCTAGCGAAAGTATCTCAAGTAGATAGACATTACACCGAACACTTTTCTATTTAGGGAATGCGAATACGCATTGCGAATTAGGCGTATGTCCATTGTACTCGTAGAGATGATTAGGTCGTAATTATTAGCCTTGATTTGTATTTCCAATTCCGTTTACTGCTGGCAAGTGGATAGTGGTGCGCGTGGTGCGGGTAAGTTAATTTTATTACTAGCATTTTTTTAAATTAAAAAGTGCAAAATGAAGTACTGCTTTAAAACACTAGATTTACGGAAGTTAATTTAAAACAATTTGGAAAATTTGAAGACCTTTTTCAGTTAATGAAATTTCGTTGTAACTTTTTTCGTTTTCTTTTTCTTAAGCCGGTCACTTCGACTTCAATTTATGTACGCGCAATAATGTCGTTGATTTATTTAATGTCTATATCTTTATTCACATTAATCAACAAAGTTTAATAATAATATGATTTGTTTAAATGACGCATTTCAAAATCAGAATAAATATTTTTGAAGTAATTTTTTTGTTATTAAATCTATACCAATCAAAAATAACTAAATATTTGTGTGAATAAAGACGCGGATGTTAAGGTTGGCGACGAAAGAGTTTTATTTTTAAACGTGTCCGTAAATCTAGTGTCGATAAAATTGCTACGTTTTGATGTGTTGTTTTCGTGTACAAGTTTCGTAATGCAAGTGTACGTTAGGTGACGACTATGAGTACACTGGAGGCTCTGGTGATGGATACCAGCGCGCGTCGAAGCGCAGCTACCACGGCTCGTCGTCCGGGTCCGCGTCCGCCTCGTCCTACCATCCCTACAGGCGCTAGCGACCTCCTGTGAGAGACCCAACTCTCAGCCACTCATGGGCTCCTGGTACTTGATTGCGTTCGTGGTTTGATAGTTTATGGGGGATCCTAATAACATTTATGGTTCAATCTGGCATGTTTCGTTGTTTTTTTCTAATTTCAGAGGTTCCTTTTTATTATATTTTTCGTCAGTCGTCGTTTGTAACCGCCAGATCTGAAGTCTGAAATTAGACAAAAAAAAAGTAAAAGCCAAATTAAGCAGTAAATGTGATTTTTAATCATTCTATATGACTTGTATCTTAATATTAGTGTTGCCTCGCGTTCTTTGCTGAGGTCTGCATCTACAGAATATCATCTTAGGACAAGAGTAAAAAAGAAACAATCCGATTTCCATCTATATGTCGCATGTCCCATAAACTAATCAAATTAGCGTATTTTATCTGTAAAATAGTAGTACTATAATTATTATAATTTTTTTTTCTATACATTGAATCATTGTATTTGTAAATGATGTTTTTTTTTTAAATCCAATCTAGCCTGTGGTGTTTGTTTTGTAACAAAGTAATGATGCATTTCGTACATATCATTATGTTTTCTGTAGTCTGTCGGTTAATGGAATAAGTCTTCGATGATTGTGTAGTAGATGTAATAATTATACATATACATAATATATCAGGCAAACGTGCATGGGTTCCCTCAGACTTATACGTTTATTTCGTTTCATAAGTTAGAATAGTTTTCTTTGATCCTGGACAATGTTTGTCGTGTTCCGATTGACTTTTCAATCCGTAAACACGTAAATGAAATTCGTCAGTTGTAAATGCAAACGCGCTGTTTTGTAGAGCGGTCGGTACAATCGAGCCGACAATTGGAACGTGTAGTCTTGTCCCCATAGATGGCGTCTGCAATCAATCGTCTTTGTAATTTAATAGCGTGAATCCCGCTTGACAAAGATGGACTGTACCCTCGGTACTGTTAATTTTTGTAAATAAAGTCGAAATTAAACTCATGAGTGTGTTAAGATTCATATTGCCCGTTTGCACTTTGAAAATCAACACCGAATCACATAAATGTTTTAAGTATTGGCATAATAAGTGCATAGTATAGCGGCAGGAGAGTGAAGCAATGACGTCACGGTCCCCACGTACACAGGACGATATGGCAACCACACTTAGATTTAAATGTAGTATTCAAATGGTTTTGTCCCCTGGTTGTTATTGGATTGATTCCAATGCTGGTTGATTAAAAACAACATTGCGCGTGTTGTTACTATTTAAAAAACAATATATTTTTTTATTTCTAGGTACGTAGGGACCGTTTTTAAGATTAAAATGTGCCACGTCCCTTAAATCGCTAAGTACGTGCACTTTTATCTCATATCTGTATATTAGTGAAGTCGAAATGAATTACTTTAAACTGTTACGAATATCATATTCCGTCGTGTCTGTGTCGACTGGCTAATATTAATAAAATAAAAAAAATACCACATTACCTCATATTTTGATGCTGGCTGATGTTAGGAAAAAGTAAATTTACATGTCAAAATTTATAGACTTGCCCAAGTTTATGTTTGTATCAATATGAATTCTATAAATGTTAAATTAGGATAAATAAAAAGTAAGCTATACAAATTCAAGTGAACAAATAGCGTGACTGTTGCAACATCAGGAAACATGGAGGCGCTAGTTGTAACTAATTATAATAAAAATTGCATCCAAGTAACTAATCTCTAGAACGAAACTCTTCTTAACCCGGACTGAATGTAATGCGAACGGACAGTAGTTTGTTTATCAAACTTTTAAATTGATTTTTGTGCTCGATATCCCTCTGTTGACTGTGTATTTTTTTTGTTTACTTCTAAATAAACGTACTAATAAATAAACATTTTATTTTCCACTGAAACTGAAAAGACTGGCCTAGGGTATCCTCGCAACGCGTTTATCGAATTAATATAATAACTATACGTTGGAAATGAAACGATGAGATTGTATTTTTGAATATTTATTTTTTTGAATATACATCTATTTTTATTTTTGAAAATACATAAATTTATTCTTAAAGCATATTAGATAGGCCTTATAATAATTAATGTACATTTAAAAAAAAACGAGATAAGCAAAATACAAAATGGTCGAAATATATAAATTTATTTTAAATACTATAATATTAAAGCTTAAAAACAATTATGTGACGATGTATAATAATAGTATGTAATGTTAAAATTACGTTGAATGAATTTTTACGAGCTTTTTAGATTTAAATATTTTTAAAAGCTTAAATTTAAGAAGTATAAAATTAATTATAATAGATACTTCAATAGCAATTCGTCATATTAATTATAATGGACCGCTGAAACACGTAATAATTAATAATATTTTCTAATTAATTTTTCTTATATTTAAATCTAAGTTATTATAATTTGGCTTAGATATATCAAAAAACACTGTTTTAATTGATAAGTTTTACGAGAAATTCTTAATGTTCGATTAATAAAATATTCAATATAATGAATTTTAAGCTTATTTTATAAACTAAAATACAAGTACTTAGTTTATTGACATTTGCACTGGAAAATCAAAGAATAAGTTTTTATTTAGAAAAAAATTATAAGATTTTTACAATTTTATTTAGACAAGTTTTCAAGGTNATTGTTAGTGCTATGTGTAACCAATAATGTTTCTAACATGTCTGCCCTATTTTTGAGAAAAGTTATTAAATTATCTACCTTAACTGCCGGTGTAGTTTGTTTGGAAGTGTCGCCACTGCTTACGGCGGGAATGGAACTTCGGTATTGCTCCCATTCTCGTTCGGTGGTGCTATCTAATTTACAAACCACCATATATATGATGAGTGTGTCCCACGATTCTACCGGTTCGTTAAGTAGTTTTAAAGCGCGTAAGTTTTTCAAGATAGTGTCTATTAATTTACGAATATGAGTAGGTGACTCTTTAACTAGACTTTGAATAGAAAATAGGGCTTTAACATGATTGTGAACTAGCAACCTTGTGTTGTTGTACCTGTTACAAATTAAATCCCATGCTACTGTGTAATTATTAGAGGAGAATTCCAAAGAATCAATAACCAATGCCGCAACGCTTTTTAATGAAGATTTTAGGTAATGAAACTTTTGGATTGGAGTAATATCCGCATTGTTGTGTACTAAAGAAAGAAAGGTGTCCCTGTACTCCAGCCAGTGCTCATATGATCCATCAAAGGTAGGCATAGCTATGGTGGGTAGTTTTACAGCGTGTGAGCCTGGATGTGAGCTTGGAGCAACCTCACTAGATGAAAGTAAGCTTTTAGCTTGAGCTATAATGGTGTAGTAAGCACTTTCAAAACCTTCGCGTAATTCCAGTTGTTGGAAAAGGTCATGATCGTTGACTGATAGTTCAATCTCGCTTTGTATTTCACTGAACTCATCAAACATTTTAGAAGCCGTCGAAAGCCGTAATTCTAATTCTGCGCGTTTATTTGCACATGAAACTAGTGAATTCTGATCCAAGCTATTAATTTGTTTCGTTAAAACTGTTAATCTGCCTCTAATAATACCTCTTTTTTTAATTAAAATGGATAGAGGGTCATTGCTTTTTGAAATTGGACTTTTGGGAGATTTTTCTGGAATCATTAATTTCTCGGTGCTCATTTTGGTGGGTGATAGAAAAACACGGAGTACTTACGGTTTTCGTTCTAGGTAAACTACGTGTAGTAAGTTCTGCGCGGTAGGTAACCACGACAAAATGGCGACCCGTAGACGCAATGAACACTGGAATCTGCAGATAGAACGCTATTAGCACAGGTAGGCAATGAGGATGGGAAGGAAACTAGTGGCCGTCTTACCGAAATACACCGTTTGCGATGCTGATCACTCTGTTCTCTGGCGGTTGGAAGCTGATCCGTCTTCGTATGGTGGATGAAATTATGCGGCTCGATGGACCAATGTTGGCGAGGAAGAGGAGGCAAGCAGTGGTGTACAGATGAAATGAATATTTTATTTTTCCTTCCAAAGTATATTTAAAATAACGGCCGTGACAATATACAGGTACATAGGTGTTGTGCGTAAGGTTGCTGCGAGAGAAGTGACGGTGCGGTTGCAGTAGTGCTCGTTGACCAATTTCTTTTTTTTTTTGGTAGTTTTTGTGCGCATAGACATGTGCGCATAGACAATAGCGTAAAAGTTAACTCAAGTACGGAGTTGGAACGTTTGCCGCTAAGGGTGCTGTTACTGTAGGAGCGCACAGTTACCTAGTGCAAAGTGGACGTCATTGATAGTCTACAATACATCTATACTAATATATAAATCTACCGTGGTTGTTAAGGATGTTCCGTTATAACTACTGAACCATGCATCCGATTGACTTGAAACTTGGTATCCATGTAGAAAATATATCGACGCTCGAAAGGCAAAAGTGACTAAGCGACAATAACTGCTTTGTACATAAATGATAAGCAATAACCATATTCGATGCGCGAAAAAAATATATTTCCAGGTCTATTAAAATCATTTCAATCCTACAGCTACTAGCTAGATTCTACTACAGCTAGATGCGTTAAAATAAATTTTGTTTTCGGGTATTTCAGCTTTAAATTTGTCTACTGTAAAGTTCACGCATTGTCGCTTAGTCACGTTTGCCTTTCAAGCGTCGATATGTACTTAACGGATAGGCTAATATTTATATAAGTGTTGGACTTCCTACACTAGTTGCGAGGGCGTTAATGATGAGAATCTTTGTGGGGGTGAGATTTAATTTTAAATGCCCAGCGAAACGGGCGGGTACAGCTAGTACATTAATAAAGATATTGACTTGGATTTTGATACCACTAAAGCTCTGTAATAGCTGTGTAGATCCGCTCGGTGTGAAAGGACCCTAAGGCTTTAACATGCTGTATCATCAGTAATAGTAAAGTACTGTATTGAGCGCTGGAACTGGGTAGCGGTCGGCGAGTGAGCTATGGCGGCGTGGAGTTCCGCCTGGCCGCGCAGTTGTGGCAGTCGCAGGTGTGCGGCGCCCCGGGGACGGCCAGCGGAGCCCCGGGCGCGGCGTGCGCGGCGCGGTAGCACAGCTCGCGGTATCGGGCGCACCCTGGACCACATCGTGACGTCACTTGTCTTGCCAACTATACGAGTATAGGTACCTACTGCTTGTTGACAACAAATCGATAGTCCTCTCTTGTGTATATCTCGGCCACGATTTCAACTCGTATGAGTAATAATAAATTATGTACTTTTTGGAAAAGACTTAAAACTGCCGACTCAAGTTATCGAAAGCTGAGAGAAGTTAATATAAATGCAGACGCCAAACGTGAGATGGTGAAGTTTCGAGCCCTCATTAAAATGGTCGTAATGGTTATTGTGACCATATACAAAACGGTGCGGTAGCTTAACAAAATAAATAATGAAAGTTGATCAGTACAGACTTGTTCTTATTTGATAAAAGAAATAAAATTTTAATTTTAGGAATGTATGTGTTCCACGCGTCCACGTGTTTGTGTGATCGCTTTAGTTGGCAATTCGATTGCGAGGTAGGGATTTGGCAGTGGACGCGCCTAAACTAGGCTAAGATGTACATAGTAATACACATCATAATGTGTAGGTATTACTAGATTTGAAAACATAATAGGTACATTAATTGGGATAATAAGTACATAGTATAGCGGCAGGCGAGTGAAGAAGCAATAACGTCACGGTCCCCATGTACACAGGACTATGTGGCAACCACACTTAATTTAAATGTAATATTCAAATGGTTTTGTCCCCTGATTGTTATTGGATCGATTCCAATGCTGGTTGATTAAGAACAGCAGCCATACTACATTACAATGTGTATCAATATGTTGTATGTAATTGAACACTCAGACAGTCTGAGGAATTTTTCGAGATGATACCAACGTCTCGTTTTTACCATCGCACCGCCCGCCACCGGAGTAGAGTTCATCCATACTACCTGGAGCCACTACGTTCATCCACAGTGCGTTTCCAGAGATCTTTATGGAATGAGCTCCCCTCCACGGTGTTTCCCGAGCGCTATGACATGTCCTTCTTCAAACGAGGTTTGTTGAGAGTATTAAACGGCAGGCAGCGGCTTGGCTCTGCCCCTGTCATTGCTGACGTCCATGAGCGACGGTAACCACTCACCATCAGGTGGGCCGTATGCTCGTCTGCCTATACGGCAATAAAATAAAATAAAGTTAACAAATGGACTGTTTGCCTGAGACGAGCGTGTACCTGTGGGCGGCAGGGCGAGGCGGGGGTCGGCGGCGAGTCCTCTCTGCGCGAGACGCTCCAACAGCGCGGCGGCCGACCATCACCTCTCGCTGCCGATCTCCGCGGCTGGATCAGACATACATTATTACTACTAGACATACGCTATAATTTATTGCGGCTTCATCTAACCTTTTTATTGTGACTTTTTTTAAGTTGTGATAGAAGGATTACTGGTGTCCCTGAGGCCTAAGACGTCCGGTGCGTTGTACGTATGTATACGTATGTAGCGATGCACCCGGCGTTCGAATCCCGCAGGCGGGTACCAATTTTTCTAATGATATACGTACTTGACAAATGTTCACGATCGACTTCCACGGTGAAGGAATAACATCGTGTAGTAAAAATCAAACCCGCAAAATTATAATTTGCGTAATTACTAGTGGTGGGACCTTTTGTGAGTGCACGGATAGGTACCACCACCCTGCCTATTCTGCCGTGAAGCAGTAATGCGTTTCGGTTTGAAGGGTGGTAGGAAGGTATACTGAGACCTTAGAAATTGCATCTCAAGTTGGGTAACGCATTTACGTTGTAGATGTCTATGGGCTCCAGTAACCACTTAACACCAGGTGGGCTGTGAGCTCGTCCACCTATCTAAGCAATAAATAAAAAAGAGTACTCCCGCGACCATTACCAGACCCGCCTTGTGCTGGGACACCCCGTATCCAAATTATTAGGCATACACATCTCTCAGTAACAACGTAACAAACATGGGCTGTGCGCCAGTCGGAATGCGTTAACTAATAAATACATATTTTAAAATTACGAATGCGATAAGTGAAGTGCTATGAAATGATCACTCGCATGCATATGTGTGTTTATAGAACAATTATTCAGCACTTGGTACAGACCAGTGTGCTTAGTGCGAGTTTCTTAACGTTCTCGATAGCGCTTTTTTTTTTTTTTTTCCTACCTAAGCTGATACCCTTAGTGGCTATTTCAGCGTAACCCTAACGTTTGTAGGTGAGCTCGCGGGGCTCAAACCTGATGACGTTGCTAACACGAACCCTATCAAGAGCCGTGCTTCGCAGAATCTACCACCGGATCGGAAACGCGACCCACTGAGAAGATCTGGCGAGAAACTCCGTGGGCTGTGTCTGAGAGTTAATTTACTCGTCGAGCCCTTCGTCGCAAGCGACGGGTTCGACGAGAACGGTGACCGGTGCTTGAGGTACCTAAAAGCACCGTTAGTGGATCGGGAGGATCCGAGATGACGTGTTTTGGGCGACGTCGACTGCTTTCCATTCTGTTCGCAGGATCGGGAATGTAGTTACCGGCGGCCACGATGAGAGGGTTCTCGTGTCATGCCGCTTTATCGAAGTGGCGCATCGACGCCGACTGAAGATACTTACTGATGGACTCTAAGTCCAGGCAGTTTCGACAAGTAGTCTCGTATGATGAGCACGAGTCCGTCTGGCACTCCCATGTTATACAGTTTGTATATCAAACCGTTGTGCCAGACTTTGTCGAACGCCTTCGCTATATCGAAGAAGAGGGCTCCTGTCGGGATGGGTTTCCGCCTATTCAGCCCTAGTAAGATGTGCTGCGTGAGGGGGTGCACTTGATGGACGCACGAGTGTCTGGCGCGGAATCCAAACTGCTCGTCTATGAGAATTTTGTTCGCGGAGACGAAGTCCCAGAGGCGTTTACGAAGGAGCCGTTCGTATAGTTTGCCTATCGCCATGAGGAGACTGATGGGGCGGTAACTCGCGGTTTCATTCTTCGGTTTGCCCGGCTTGTGTATGCCGATAACATCAGCTTCTTTCCACGCCGCGGGAAAGATGCAGTTCGTCATAGCAGCATTTAAAATGGTGGCCAACATCGTTATTAGTTGGGCTGGTAACAATTTAAGCGCGCGGTTGCGGATGCCGTCGGAGCCGGGAGCTTTCCGTGGTTGTAGGCTATCGATCGCCTTCTTAACCTCGGAAGTGGTAATGGGGGGTAACGCGTCCGAGGGCGGCAGGGAAGCTCTGCGCTCGACCTCCCTGTCGACTAGCTCGGTGTGTTCGGGGTCCGCGTGTTGAGTGCTGGTGGTGCACTGCTCTTGCAGTGCATCGGCCAGCAACTCTGCCTTGTCATCGTCATCGTAAGCCGGTGGTTGGCCTGAGGGGCGTACNAACGAGATAAGCAAAATACAAAATGGTCGAAATATATAAATTTATTTTAAATACTATAATATTAAAGCTTAAAAACAATTATGTGACGATGTATAATAATAGTATGTAATGTTAAAATTACGTTGAATGAATTTTTACGAGCTTTTTAGATTTAAATATTTTTAAAAGCTTAAATTTAAGAAGTATAAAATTAATTATAATAGATACTTCAATAGCAATTCGTCATATTAATTATAATGGACCGCTGAAACACGTAATAATTAATAATATTTTCTAATTAATTTTTCTTATATTTAAATCTAAGTTATTATAATTTGGCTTAGATATATCAAAAAACACTGTTTTAATTGATAAGTTTTACGAGAAATTCTTAATGTTCGATTAATAAAATATTCAATATAATGAATTTTAAGCTTATTTTATAAACTAAAATACAAGTACTTAGTTTATTGACATTTGCACTGGAAAATCAAAGAATAAGTTTTTATTTAGAAAAAAATTATAAGATTTTTACAATTTTATTTAGACAAGTTTTCAAGGTATTTTCAGAGGAGAATTTTTTGCTATGATCTAATGAATTACCAATGAACTTACTGCACGTAGGTAAGTACTAGATACAAAATCACTTGTAAGCTCTTCGAAATACTAGTCTATGATAATAATAAAATATTTTACTGGTGGTAGGACGTCTTGTGAGTCCGCGCGGGTAGGTACCACCACCCCGCCTATTTCTGCCGTGAAGCAGTTGAAGGGTGGGGCAGCCGTTGTACTATACCGGGACCTTAGAACGCATATCTCAAGGTGGGTGGCGGCATTTACGTTGTAGATGTCTATGGACTCCAGTAATCACTTAACACCAGGTGGGCTGTGAGCTCCTCTACCCATCTAAGTAATAAAAAAATAATATGAAGATAGAAAATGTGATTTTGTTAAAAGGCAAAAGCTATAAACTGGCCCTTTAGGTTTGACAAGTGTTGAGTTGTCATCAGGCACTATTTTTAATATTACATTCAGAGTACATACATTATTAAATCTTTATTTACTTTTCTTACGTCTTGGAAGTCCGTACGGGAAGGTGCCGCCACCACCACTGCCTATTTCTGTCTTAAAGCAATAATCTGATTTGAAGGAGGTGCAGCAAATACTAATATTATAAAGACGAAAGATTTGTTTGTTTGTATTGAATAGGCTGCGAAACTACTGAACCGATTTGAAAAAATCTTTCAGTTTGGAAGATACACAAGCTTCCCGAGTGAGATACGCTATAATCTTTTTTGTAAAAATTAGAGATCCTTACTAAAATTCCAATAATGTAACCCAAGGCGTAAAAAAATTACCTAAAATATTGTTTACAGCGCGTGCGCTGCGAAAACTACTAATGATAGAATAAAATAATGTACTACGACTTTGTAGAACACATTATTATTTACGAAAAGTGTCAGGAAAGCATATGTCTATTATAGTTATGCTGCAATAAGTGTTCTTTTATTTAAAAAAATAAAACAACTTCAAATATCGTTGGAAGACCCGAGCGGAGCCGTAGCGGTCCGCTTGTGTACTATAAGACAAACTGTCAAGGTAGATGACGGCATTTGAGTAGTTGAAGTTTATGGTCTCCATTAACATCACATGAGGCGGGCAGAGCGGTCTAATAAAAAAATCGAGTCCTATGACATAGTCTTCAGTCGGAGTTAAAGGTATCGTCGGCGAGAGGCAGGCGTCTAATGGTCCTCTGATGGGTGTCGGCGAATGATTACAACCGTCGGCCGTGCGCTGGTGTCCGGTGTGATTAGTGCGAGTTGCTTAACGTTCTCGATAGCTGTTGGCGAGGAAGAGGAGGCAAGCAGTGGTGTACAGATGAAATGAATATTTTATTTTTCCTTCCAAAGTATATTTAAAATAACGGCCGTGACAATATACAGGTACATAGGTGTTGTGCGTAAGGTTGCTGCGAGAGAAGTGACGGTGCGGTTGCAGTAGTGCTCGTTGACCAATTTCTTTTTTTTTTTGGTAGTTTTTGTGCGCATAGACATGTGCGCATAGACATGCCCCCGGCCTTGGAAGCTGACAGACTGCAGGGTCGCTTTCAATGTTAATCATACTTCAACTGGAAGCGGACATATCTTGGAAAATGCCCTCTTAATGGTTCCTGTGGCAGTGCGGATTTCGGCAACTCTTGACACGCCGTCTTGGCCAGGTAGGACCGATGTGACTCTGCCAAGAGTCCACTTGAGTGGCGGAGAGTTGGTGTCCTTGATTACCACTAACGTATTCAGTTTCAGGTCTGAGTGGTTGGACTTCCATTTTGTTCTGGTCTGCATCTCGCTGACGTACTCCTTGGACCAGCGGTTCCAAAAATGTTGGCGTATTTGTTCGACTCGCTGGTACCGGGTCAGACTGGACAGTTGTCTCTCTTGCAGGTCAGCGCAAACAGGTGCAGTCAGCGGACGACCAACTAGAAAATGAGCGGGACAAAGAGGGGAGAGGTCGTGTGGATGTGAGGAAAGAGGGGTGAGAGGTCGGGAGTTCATTA